CATGCCCTTGGCCTCAGTTCACGGCTTCGACTTCTATCACAGTCCCTCTTCCTGCTCCCTCGCTCACTATCCGTTCCATCGACTGCTTCGCCATCTACTCTCCGCTTTCTAATTTTTAGTGTTGATAGCTTATAAAATATATATTTATGAGTATGTGTAGGTGTGAGTTATGTGTGAGTGGGTATGTAGTTGTTTATTTCGCTGTTTTCTACTCATAGAGCTCCACGTTACGTCGGGGCGAGCAGGTGCTATAGCTAAGCTGCGAGTCGGTCTTCTTGAGTATGGAGACATGATGTGTGGGTGCATCTCCCGATCGATTGGTCATAAGCGAGTCCTGCTTATGGAGCAGGCCACGTCGCTGGTCGGCGAACGAGATAACCGAGTCTTGTTTGACCAACTGATGGCGGCGCGGCTCTGGTCGTTGGTCCACAAAGCTAATCACCGAATCCTGTTTGACGAATTTCTGTCGCTTATCCAGCAGGGATGATGACGCCGCTGTGCCAGCGAGGCCACCGATTCCACCAATGCCTCCGATACCGCCGATGCCAGTGATGCCACCTATGCCACATCGACGGGAATCAACGGAAATTGTGTCCTGTTGAGTCAGTGTGGAGTCCACTGAACGTTCCTGAGCGCGACGCGCCTCCATGTACGAAACAATTGAGTCCTGCTTGGAGAGCGAGACCTTGCTACCATTGCTGTCCTGCTGGCAGAGTAGACGCCGATTACCGGAGGCATCGCTACAGGAGCTCTCCTGCTTGATGAGAAACTGGCGAGAGCCATGCGAGTCCTGCTTGAGCAGCATCTGCTGTGACAAATTGCTGTCCTGCTTCATCATCAGGTTATGGCGGCGCAGCGAGTTGTGCTCATAAATGTAGGACACGGCATTGGTCTTCCTCAAGCCCGGACTGCTGGGACTCTTGCGTGAGCCATGTGGATGGTAATGCGAGGACTTGCGAGTGCTCGTAGTGGACGAGGCTATGGCCACATTGTCATAGTATCTAAGTGTGAGGAAAAGAGAAGGAAAGAATGTGAGTGCACTGTTGCGATCTAGGTGAATCCCACTTATGAACCCACCTGAGTCTTCCGCAGCAGCTGCGAGACTTGATGATCGCCGCAAAACCCCTTCGATACTTTTTGTTCACGGAGTAGAGTATGGGATTTATGCAGCTGTTGGAGGATCCTAGCCATTGAGCAAGTGGCATTACCTTCTTCAGTATCTCGAACTCCTCCTGCGATATATCCGAGCCGAATTTGATACGCGCGAAAATCACGTAGAGAGGCAGCCAGGATAACACAAACAATATGACGACGGCCACCAACATTTTGATGACCTTCACCTTGCTCTTCTGCTGCATGCGGTCCAGCTGAGCGTCCTTGGAAAGTTCGCCAGGTATGCTGCGCGTGGAGACCTTGATCCAAATGAGCACATAGCACAATGTTATCAAGGACATAGGTAGCAGATAGCAGGCCACTAAGTTGGCCAGCAGAAAATACAAATTGCCATCGGTGCCCGGTGGCCACACCTCTTGGCATAAATACTGCGGCTGCGTATAGCTGGAGACGAGTGCATCCGAGAAGACCTCCTCGGCAGGCACTAGATCGAAGAACAGCAGCCACGGTATGGTGGTTACCAATGCGATGCCCCAAATGCCGATTATCATGATGCGTGCTCGTCGCTTTGTCATCTGCTTCAATGGCCACCAGATGGCAATGAACCTGCAAGAAAGAATTTTTTAACAGCTGCTACTGTGACGCCCACTCCATCCCCAACGCCATTGCAATGCCGTTGCTATGCCATTCCCCCTCAAATCGGCACCTCGTCAAGGCTAATGGCAATCGGGATGACGATGACGACATGCAAATATCTTAGCCTGATTAATTCGCACACGCAGGATGCCTTGACTGAGACCAGAAACTGCGCATCCTTAAGCCTTTTTCTGCTGACTGCTCGACTTTCCAATCTCGACGGCTCCGACTATTGAACTCCCGTCGCAACACGTGCGCCCCCCTCGCTCAGCTGGAGCTCCCCCATTTTTTACTTGGCCTGCCATAATCAAGCGTAATTTGAATAAGAGCAGCAGTTACTACAGCGGGGTGCGGAGCGGCAGCAGGGGCACCTAGGAGAGTGAGGTGGGTCAGGTCTCATTTTTGGCAGTTTTCATTCGGCTTACTGCTAACCACTTATTATGGCATCCTATTCAATAGACCAGCCACAAGACCGCACTCGTTGCAGTCGGCGCCATTCACAAAATAGAGAGTGCTTGACTGCAAGATATCTAGATGTGCACTGGCTCCAAGTCTATATATGTCTATACTATAACCAATATACCCTTTGTATGCCCTAGTATATATGCCAAATACTTATATCGATGATGGTAGATATTTTGAGATAAATATGAAGTGAGGCAATACTTTCATTTCATTTATATTGTATTTCTTATACTGACTTGTAACTTTGTAGTCCTCCTCTTATGTTTCAAAAACTATTTCTAAATATTAATACACATCGATATAATGGGCATTTTTTTCTGTTCCATACACTTGTTCCATTTCACTTGCAGAAAACAGTATACCCTTTTCGAAACATTCGCAATGGGTTCAGGGTATAATAATTATGGGGCTAGCCACGACTCCAGCCACAATTGCTCAGCCTCTACCAATCTCTCCAGCCATCCTCTACCTCTGTCCCTTGCCCCGTGCTCTAGCACCCATTGTACGTTTTTTGGCCACTTTGTTGTCGTCTGGGCGGGCAAGCGTTTTGCTGATAACGAACACAACGGTAATTCCATTAGGACCCAGCCACAACTTTTCAAAGCCAATATCAAATTGTCATAATGTTTATTTATAGACCCAACTATATATATATATATGTATATGTATATATATAAAGGGAGCTAGATATATATTTAGGTATAGCGATTGCATTAACATAATTTGTCTGCGGGATTTGGTTGCCAGTCTAATTAAGTTTCACGTGCTGGCCAAACATGGGGTCTCCTGACCGATCTGTGACCGGGATAACCGATTATATTCTGAGTTATGGCTAAACGGAAGACGACATTTCTCGTGCTCCCAGGCTGCCGCGACTGAACAAAAGTTTTCACAAAATTATGCGCACAGCAAGTTATTTCCATAAATAAAGAACAAATTTAATAATTGGCACACACATTGGCATACACTCACACACATACATACACACATACACACACACAATCACAGCTCAAAGTTTTGTACTTTTATGACTTTTTCCCCTAGTGACAAGAATCTTGAAAGTTATAACAAGAGGTTACCCGACTACAGCTACCCTGTAGCTTAGTGATTACCTTCTTCATTCCAATCTCTCTCTCTCTCTCTCGCTCTCTCTCTCTCTTTCTCTCCATATGAATTCAAATTGCATCCAGATTGAAAACAAAAACTGTGTATAATATCGTTAATGACCGCTTTCTTTACATACTTGATTCTCACTGGTAATATCAGTGTACCCATTTCCCATTACCAGCTAAAGGGTATTAGCGCAAAAGTAGACAAGACAGATGAATGAGAAATACTTTTTCTGCTGCTCACATTTTAGGGTAACTCGCATGAAAATTCCGGCAAACACAAAAGCCGCACAGTCATTGGCATAAAACTCGAACCCACAGACGCACACACGTTGGCTTATCCATGTGATAATATTTATGTTATGAGCGGATGGGAGCCTGAGAGGCTGAGGATACATATCTATAAAACTAAGAGCCCTAATTAAATAGCATTGGCTAAGCAAGTGATAAGCAAAGATGTGCGTACGCTTGCGTCCAGGACATTGCGTGCTGATTTAAGTTTCATGTTACAGATAATAAATCTTAAATTTCGAATCGTTTTACGAGCGCTCGTAAAATACAAAGAAATACAAAACAACTCAGAACGAGATTGACATGAAGCATGGGCTTGCGCTGCAATACGTGCGGGCAACCAAACGATCAAATGATATAGTGTCCTGCTGTTCTTCTTCTGCTCCTCTCGCTCTTAATAATGACAACAGCAGCAGACGCCGCCTCTGCTGCTGTGCCTGAGGCAGCTGTCGCTGAGAAATTGATATAAATGAAAGCTGCACATAAATGCGGCGCCTCTGTCTTTATCCTGCTGTAGTGCCCCACAGCTCAGCTGCTGTCCTGCTATGCTGTTATCCAGTGGCACGGGCAGTGCCACACGTCAAAACGTTGTCAAAGCGTTTTACTGCCACTTGATAAATCAACTGGCCACAGCATATCTGACTTTATGCGCATAGATTTGAGCTGTCAAGATATCTGTTGTATCTTTTTTATACGCAACACTCCTTGAGTTGCGGTGCTAGCGAAGCTTAGGGGCACCAATGGACAGTATGGGATGCATTGATAATTGAATGACAGCCCAGTTTGATTTATTCCTCCATAACTTTCATTAAAATCTATAGCTATCGATTATGTTAGCAAAAATTGACAAGTTGCATAGTAAGGCTGAGTAACTTAAGCCCTTTTCCTTAGACACCATGGAATGATAAGTTAGAAAGCTGATACGAATTATAAAATGGACAAACAAAACTCAATATAGGGAAATGCTGATTCAAAAACAATGTAAAGCTGAGTCCCTTGAGTGAAGATTCAACTGTTCTCAAAATCTAGGTTAATTTTGTCCTAAGCTGACCACAGGGTATGTACTAGGTGACCTTTTGCAGACCAAGTTTGCTTTAGTGCAGCAGGAAACACAAGGCGAACATTTGACGGAGAGAACGTGTCGAATGCAGCCCAAGGCAAACGCGACAAAATTCAGCAAACATTCTACATAGATAAAAAAAAATGTTTGATTAATGCCAAATACGGACAAGGCGAGCACTGAACTTGATCTTGAGACAGCCTCCGACTCAGACTCCGAGTTAGTCTCAACCTCCGACTCTGGCTGTGACCAGTTTTCCTAGCCGGCTTGCATTGAGCTTGAGTCGGCGTTCACTTTTGCAATTGCAGTCAGTTCTCTCTGGATGCTATAAAAGCAGCACTCGAGTCTCCGATTGACAACAGTTGCAACTCATTTGCTCAGCTTAACAAATCCACCTGAAACACAACAACAAAGTCACATTCAAAATGTTCAAAGTTGTGAGTATATTGAAGTGGAGCTGTGTCTGATGGTGGAGCTGATTCATTAGCTAACAGCGTATCTCTCTTTTGCAGCTGTTCGTGCTCGTCGCTTGCGCCGCTGTCCAGGCCTATGCCCATCCGGGAGTAGTCGCCGTGGCTCCGGTGGTGCACACACCAGTGGTGGCTGCGGCTCCCGCAGTGGTGCACTCACCAATCATTCATCACGGCGCCCACTCGGTGCACTCGTAAGTAATCAGATAGTAAGCACTTGACTTGAATATTACATTAATCTTTTAAAACGCCCACACACTTATCCAACAGCCACGTTGTGCATCATCCCGCCCCTGTGAGGGTGGTGCATCCAGTCGTCGCCAAGCCTGTGGTCGCTGTGCATGCCGTGAAGCCCATTGTGCCCCTAGTGCCAGTGCATCATGCTGCTCCCGCTGTTGTGGTGCATCATTAGAGAGCCTACCCGATTTCCGATACCCGCTCCTAACCCCTAACCCATACCGACCCATCTCCCAGCACATTCCAATACCACAATAAAGGTTCATAGCCACGTAAATTTAAAGAGTTGTCATTTCTTTGTTGGCTCACTTACCTGTCTAGCGACACGGCAATTAAGCTGTAAACCGAAGCCGCGACCGAGACACCCTGTATGTAGGGCACAAACTTACACATCAGCCAGCCCAGCATCCAAGCTGCAAGAGAAAATATAAATAGTTAGAGAAGGGGCGTTTTTCATTGAGCCTCAACTTTGCAATAGCAGGTAACTTGATTATAGCCAACTGCTGAATACGCGCTTACGAACTGAGAGCACGAGGAAATAATTTTTTACGAGCGAACACCTTTTGAATTGAGCAAAATATTGTTCAAAGCGAATATACTCGGCTTAACATCCAGGGCCTGCATCAAAATTATGCTGAGTAACTTTCGGTCATGTCTGCGTCTGTACTCCTGTTGTTGTCCTAGTCGCGGTCGTGGTGGCCGTGGTCATAGTCGGAGTCCTGTTTGCGGTCCTGGTTAGCGTTCAATGCATTATGTTCATGTTTTTGTTTTTCTTTCTAGTCGGTCGTCCACGTCGCCGACATCGTTGTTTGCTGACTGAGATTTATGTTCTGCATATCATTCATAATTTGGTGACAAGTCTCAGATTGCCAAGAAGCCAGCATGAGGCGTTGTTTGCCAACGATGCCAAAAGCACGCAGCAAGCAGCCCTCAGCTGCTGGCCAAGTTAATTTGTATTCCCTTTATTCTATTTGATGAAAGATGGAAGACATGATTCGCACTGTCTATAAATACGCACACATATACATTGACAGTTAAAGAAAATACACTCGGAAAAGAATAGAAAAGATGAGCAGTTCACTTAAATTGGGGATTTCAAATTTTAAATATTTAACAAAACATTTTATAAATTATTAATCAAAAATCTGGATATAGATTAAAACAATCATTTATTGATGAATGAGTTTATTTCAAACCGTAAGACTACCAAATATATCTCTTTCCACTTTCTTTGACGCTCCATTTCACTCACTCAGTCTCACTCATTGTCTCTTCTTCTCTCCACTATCTATTCAAATGAAAAGTTGTCCAAAGCCAATCAATACTTTACACTAGACTCTTTCTTTCAGTGTATAGTGGCTCTGCCTTTGGCTGTTGAGTTATGACTTGAGATGCCAACAGCAAATAACTTAGTCAGACACAAAAGGCTCTAAAATACACACGCACACACGGAGGATTGAAGGAGTAGAGGGGTGGCGAAGGGCGAAGGGCGAAGGGCGTGGCAAGGAATGTGCCCTGTGGCACATGTCATCAAGGTTGATGACAGTGCCAAACGTACTTGCGGCATGACATATCGAATGGCAATTAAAAGGTGCTAATAACCACAAGAACAACCGCATCATTAACTCCGTGCGGGAGTTCAATGCACCAGCCTCAGCCCCACCGCTGACCCCTCTCTGAACCCAGCCACCCACACAGTCAGGGGTCAGAGGCAAGCTGCGCAAATATATGCTCATATGTGGCTTCTGTCTAATTTCCTGTCTCGTCCGCCTGTCTTATCTCGTTTCGGTATATTATGCATACGCGCCGTGCACCGGCGAGTCGGGCCAATAATAAAGCGCAAAATTTAATGTGATTTGGCACATAAAAATATAAATATTATTATTATTTCTGTGCGCTTTGTGTGCGCTTTGACCAAGTCAACACACTCCAGACGACCACTCAAAAGACATGAGCACAGTTGGACAGTTGACAGCTCTGGACAGCAACTTAAATAGATTTTGGTTACTTTTCTCAACTCTGATACCCTGTAATCCATGCAACAAGGCGTTTCATGATAATTCTATGTATATGTTATGTTTCTGTTTTCTACCTACATTTAAGTCAATTACTGAGCTGGCTTGCTTTTGCTCGAAGACTATTCGAATTGTAGACATCAAATTATTTATGATGGATCCTATACAGTATTATAATGGATCAATATACACTTTTGATGAAGGTATCTGCAAGTCGAGCACTTTCACTTCTATCCTACTCGATTCTATTTTTGCAGCTTCAAGTGCAACAGTCTGTGATATATTCAAGTTATATCCGTTGCTTTTAATATTTAGCTATTTATTTTGGCGCTGGCCTTCGGTTTGATATATCGCTTACACAAAAGTTTGTCTTCGTTCAAAACTTTGCCTCGAAGTTTCAATGTGAACGCAATCAAATTGAGCCCAGTCCGAATTGGTGAGCTCTTCTTCCTCTTACTCTCCGATTGGCAGCATATGCTGCTCGAACTCTGCTTGAAGTTTGTATTTATAGGCACTAAGCGGATGGCCGCAGAAAATATTGATGGACTGCAGCTGATAATTCCAATCGATATTTACAGCTTATCACCACGACCTTCGCTCCTGGATGGATGCACTCTGACCCGCAGGCAAATGTCAAACAGCTAAACACAAGCCAAGCCCCTAGGATTGCTGTTTGCAATACCCTTTCGCTAAGGATATACAAATTTTGACAGGCATTGTGTAACATGGTGGATTCTTAATTGAAAGTGCTAAGTTCTGGGACGCATCACCTTAAATACCCTACATAAAAGTGTTTATGGTGAGTATATATTATTCATATTCGTATTCGTTCGTATTCGTTCAACTTAACAGATGTTTAGGCAGTCATGAGGGTATTCCATGCTTCGTCATTTCATAGGTTTTGTCTCCATTTCTGAGCCATGTCAGCGCAAAAGTTAGCGCGAACTTATATCGTAGGCCACGCTAATGGGATTTGGTTTTGCATTGCTGGTAACGCTTCGCTAATTTTTGGTTTGAGTTCTGGGGATCCGTTCTGGGGCCATAAAGTTAATAAAATAATCGGGTGGAACAAATCCGACAATGTGGCTCGTCAAGATTTTGCTTCGATTAAGATGGGCGTGAAATATCCATGGATGGGCGCATAACACTTCAAGAAAATGCGTTATTGTTATGTTTATCGCTGCTGTTGCTGCTGCTGCTGCTGCTGCGTCACGTCCTGCGGTGACTGCTGTCACTTGGTCCTAAATTGAATTGAAGGGCCGCAGGACTCAGGCCAGCAACTAGCACCAATCGAATGCTGTGCCACGGAAGGCACGTAGCATCTAAATTAAAATACAATTGGAAAGTGAAGAAAAATTACTTCATCATAAAGAGCAGCCGCATCGGCATCAGCAGCAATAGCAATAGCATTCCAACAGTGCTCTTTAGCCGCGTTTCGCATACGCGCCGTGAGCCAAGAATATCGCAAATCAGTCGTCGCTATTTAATGAAGTAACCAGCAAACATGACTTTAAAATACGTGACTTGATTCCATCCACGCGACGTGCGAATCGTACAGTCAGCGAACGCTTTATATATGTATGTATCAAATTTAAAATCACTTAATTGAACACATCGTAGGATACCAAAAATATTCTATTTCCATGATTTCAAAATGTGTCGGAAAGCGGATTTAACATTTGCACTATTTGTTGCTAAAAACATTCTTGCATCAGAACCAAGTAGTACAATGATTTATGCTTAACCAATCGTTGTTTCAAAGAGCGATATCATTTATTTGAAATTATTATTTATTTAAAATTAATGTTAATATTTAATTCAATATTGTTAAGGTCTGCCACGGCGTGGGGCAAAACGCATTTTCTATTCCTACATATACTCGAAAATTACAGGTCCTCTTTGGGTATGTTCCCGATAGGCGAAAGCCTATTGTTGATAACAATCCCTTTTTTAGTGAAGGAGAGCCCTACGTATAGTAGTATTGTTGATTAAAATCCTTACTAAATCATATAGGCTCTTAATATATAATTAACTGAAATCGTTTCATTGATAAGTCTTAATCTCAGATTAGACATTAGCTTGACTAAGGACTCTTCTTTTGTGGAAACTCTCGCAAATTCAATGCAATTTGTAAACCACTCACGTAATGATAAGAATTTGGCATTGCTAATGTCTAAAGGAGTCACACAATTGCCACATAGAATCCAATTAGAAAGTGCGCTAAGGACATGCTGGTGTAACGCCTCGTCTCAAGGTAGCATCGCTCGGCAAATCAATTCAATTCGCATTTTATTGGTTTTTCGAAACACACATAAATAAAGGCTCAGCTCAGCCCAGCCCAGGTAAACCACATACACACACACTCACACACACACAAACACACACTCATAACAGCGAGCGAGTTTAACCCTGAAGAGGAAAATATTTAGGTCAATTCATCCAGCCAGCCGCACAGCGAAAAGGTCCTTGAATGCAAAACAACCTTCCATTGCAGTGCTGAGGTGTGCTTAGGTAATGATAGCTCCAAAGCGTAAGAGACCCCCTTGAAGCCTCTTCTGCCCAGAGTCGTGTGCACACACACATAAATACAAATGTATTTAGGCGATAAGAAGTAAATAAACATCATTCCTGTTGACCAAATTCGGTATTGAAAGTGGAAATGGACGCTCTCTTAGCTAAACGTCCTTTCGGCCATTTGCTTTAACGTGCCGCAACTTTTCACAAGTCAAAATGCCAAGCAGCCAGCATTCAATATGTGCCCAAGGGCTGTCGCAATTTATTTATTGTTGTTGCTAGTTGGGCCTATTGCAGTGGCAGCTGCGTTTGTCACTGGGTCTGGGTCTGAGTCCGTGCCTGCCCCCAAGCCCAAGTTAATACACACACACACACAGAGAGACGTTCTTACACACACAAGCAAATGCGGAGTGACCCACTAAGAGCTGGGCAGCCCGCAGCACCCTGCGCCTATGTTGAATTTGTGAAATTAGGTCAGTTCTGTGTCGATGATCCTTCAGGCCACCCCAAACGGCAGCCAGCACGAGAACGAGAACGAGAGCGAGAGAATGGGAGAGTGGGAGAGTGGGACAGTGGGTGCCAGAGAGACAGCGCGAGTGCGCACTAATACACAATGCACCACACAGACACACACACACTCACAGCCCATTCAGTTTTTCAATCGTCTCTTGCCTTTCGTTTCGTTTACTATACCAACTCATCCCCTCTCTCACACTCACTGCCGCGCTCTCTTCTTTTCACTCCCTACCTCCCTCTCTGTCTCTAGCCACCTTTGTGCATGCATGTCTTCGGGTCGAGCAACATTTTCTAAGGCGGGCGCATTTAATTGGCAAACGTTGGCGCCAGCTGCGAGGCTCTAAATGCGCTCAGGTGAATATATGTTGGGGTAGCTACTACTTATACCACAACAACCATACAGGTGGAGTAAAGAAGGGGCTACTGGTGTGAGGTGAGGGGCGCGGGAGTCGTGCCCTGACATGTCAGGCATTGCTATCACTGTTTGATTTCTGAAGGATTTTGATCATTTTTTCATGTCGGCGCCGATTTGCATGCAATTTCTCAGCTGCAAAAGCTTTGCGACAATCCATTTACCCAGTTGCTATTTGACAGTTCACACACGGACACTTAGAGTCTCCACAGACACACACATAGAGCATGCAGGTGATGTCAATTTATTAAAACTAAGCCCTCATAATCACGCGTAACCTCGTTTATTGGGGCCAAATATAGAAAAGAACATAAATATATAAACATATATTCTATAAATATTCCCCGATGAAATTGGCTCATTTACGTAATTATGTTATTGATTTTAGTGGAGCATAATTATTATTTTTCAACAATAAGTTGATAAGTTCATTAAAACTACAGAACCAAGATTCAAGTTAAGCAAAGAAATATTTACATATACATATATTCGACTGCACTAAAATTATAAAACCTAAATAAATGAACATACAAGAAACATAATGAACATAAAAACAAGAACATAAATTAAACACAATGAAGGAATCAACTAAAATTTTTATTGTATAGATCACGAATGAATATAATAAAATACTATTATTATATTTTGTTTAAAAAAGATTAAAAAAAGTAAATTTTAATTAATTAATATAAGTATGATAATACATTTCCCATAGACTTTTGCAAATCTCATATTTCAGTTTCGACCTCCGAAGCATAGCCTTGTAGCCGACTTTCGCCCTCAACCAAATTACTATCAAAGTAAATGAAAAGGCAACCATGTTCGTTTGCTGTATTTGACATGCAACATGGCAGAAGTTTTCAGTTAGATAAGAGAGAATCGGATACGGTTAGATGAACTCATTATAGTCGGACGTACTTCGTTTCCTATATGTACTCGCAAGGCTATAAAAGCTGATGATAATTGCATAACAGTGTACCCTCCGAGGATGGATGGATAGATGGGGTTGGGGCAGCATGTTGGCTAAGAACCCATAAAACATGATGATAATGCACGATAATATTTCAGTTTCATTTACTTCATTTCAGCAGATGTATTTTGCTGGCATTAGCATTAAGAAGAAAGCATTAGGCTTGATGCTCCTTCTCGACAAATTGCGCATACGTCACGTGTCGCTGGCGTGGGGCCTAATCCAAGTGCCGATTAATTGCTAAACATAAATCCAGTTAATATGCGTGGCTCGCAAAAGTACCGAATAAAGGAAGCGAAACAAAAGCAAATGAAAGAAACTGAAAAAAACAACCGAGACGTGCTAATGAGTACCAACTGAATCTCCGCGTTAGGTATATATGTATATAGTTATGTATATAGTATCAGTGTAAACAATTCCATCAATCAATAAGAGATACGATATTTTCAACAGATCTGTAATTTTTGTAATCAATCAAACTGTCATCAATCACTCTGGCAATCAGACCAATCGAACAATCGGAAAATGGAGAGACATGAATATAAATATGGTGCTATTCAATCCGAATGTCTACTTACGCACAAAGATGTTGCCGATGAGCGTGGCGGGCAGGCAGAACACAATGACTAGGATGTCGGCAATTGCCAAGTTGACAATGAAGTAGTTGGTGACCGTGCGCATACGAGGAGCTCGCAGGACGACGGCGATGACAAAGCTATTGCCGATGAGTCCCACGACGAAGACCACGATGTAGGCCACACAGTAGACAATCGACATGGCCAGCGAGTGGCGATAGAGCGGATCGAAGCCAAAGTCCACACTTCCGTCCAGTTGCTCCCAGCGCAGAATGCTGTCGTTATAGGACTTGGTGGCAGCAGCGGCTGTGATCAGGCTAGTCGTAGCCGGCGACATATTCAGCAGGCTGGCATAGTAGGTGGATGAGGTTGCATCGTGGACCAGTGCCAAATGGGAAGTGCTTGTTGCAGCCGTTGCTGATGTTGCTGCTGCAGCCGCTGCCGCTGTTGCTGTTGTTGTTGTTGCCGCAATGCTCGAGATTAGGGAGCTGGCAGCGGGCGCCACTGTGGCCGTTGCCGTTGTTAAGATGGTGCCCAAAAGAGTGTCCGTAATGGAGCCGTTAGTCAATTTAATAGCACTCGATGTGCTCGACAAGTTGGCAGCAAGACCAATATTGTCGCTGCTGTTGTTGGAGTTGCTGCTGTTGCTGGCATCCTCATTGAAATTCAAGAGATTTTGCAAATCCAAGAAATTATGCGTGAAATTATTAGCGCTGGCATTCGAGAGTAATTCATTCTGCCAGTACCTAACCGCCTCTGGCGTGGGCGTGGCATCTCTGCTGTCAGTTATTGCTGCCGTTGTTGTTGCTGCTGCCATTGCTGCCGCTGCTGTTGCCGTTGTCGTCGGCGTGTCGCCAGCTATGTGGCTTCTGTGCTTGCGTTTGCGAATTGCCATCCTCCAGCTAAGTCTGGCTCAGATTAATGTCAGATATAAGCTATGTTCCTTAACTATTCCTGTTCTAGTATATGTTGCTGTTGTGTATCTGTTGCTGTGTTGTTTTTCTTTTTATAAAAAGTCTATAAAATTGGCGTCACTTGGCATGTTGTGCTCACAAAAAATATATGTATTTATATGTATATACGTATTATAAATGTTTCGCTCTTCGAGTTTGAGTTGGGGTTTGAGTTCGAGTTCGAGTTGTAGTTGGGTTCTTGCTTTGGATATGTAGATATTTTCGAGGCTGAAGCAAATTATACAACATTCAATTAAATTCAAGCACATAGAAAGGATACTCTGTTAAAGCCTTAGAACAGGGTATTATCATTTGTATATAGGATAAATGTTTCCGAACGACAAGAACCGCTCAGTGGATAATGACTTTCGGACTTTTAAATGGGGCCTACTATAACTATGGCATAAGTAAATCTAAAATATTTAATTTCTTATCAATTCAACACAAAATTTTAGGTCGCAATATTTGGTTTTGTTTTGCCCTCACTCGTAGTACGAACTTGTAAAAGATATCAATTGATTTATTAGTCATGTGTCCTTATGTATTCACAGTAATACGAAAAATGTAAATCACGAAATTTCTGATAAAATTCGAATGAAAATAGTTCGCACTCAAAGCCGTTTGCTGAGTAACTTTTAGCTGTTTATTCTCTACAAAAGCACTTTTAATTTGTGGGTTCATTGTTGTTGTTGTTGCTGCAGTTGTTTTCGCCCCCCAAGGTTGATGTGCAGTTTTTTGTGCAAAATATTTGTAACTGCATACTAAAGCTGCGATTGCACCTATAAAATGAGTTGTTGTTGCGTTTGTTAATGTTCTTGTTGTTCTTGTTGTTGTTGCTGCTGTGGTTGGGTATTGGGTTATTCGGGTTGTTCGTCAGCTGACGTTGCCTTGAGTTGGCATTACGAGTGCCCCAAGGACTTGTGTGCATATTTTAGATAAGGCCAAATGCTGGGTGCCCTGGACTCAGTGCATCTCGCAAGGTACCTTCAGTGCGCCCCCACCCCTTCCCCCAAAATGTGGGCGTAACATAGGCTGCAGGCTGGTGGAGGCGGTGGCGGACGCGCAGACGGAGGCTGAAGCTCAGGGACAGGGACATGGCCACAGCACGCACACATGCGCTGCCAACTGTTATTAACTAATTGAATTGTGATTATTCTTGTTGCACTTTGACCTCAAACGAGGCGTGCCAAATGTGTTTAGCAGCAGAAGACTGAAATGGACTAATGGCCAAAAAATAATAGAAGTGCCAAAAGCACGAAACACATTGATGAAGTGCCAAGAAAGAAAAAAATAGATAGAAATATCAAATAAATAAATACCGAAATTGTATTCCGATCATTTTTACGCTTCATTTTTTTCTATTTTTTTTTTTTTTTTTTTTTTGTGTTTTAACTTTTGCGTGGGGTGTGCCAACAGGCGGACAATAGACCCATTAACGGAATGCCAATACGCTCAGCGTAAAAGTACTTCACATTAAAGTGCGCTTATGCGCCGTGTGCGTATGTGTGCGAGGAGGTCCTTAGAGTCCTGAAAGTCCTTGCACCAGCGACAAAGACAGCACTAACAATAACAACAAGCTGTTGACAAATCGTTTGCAAGCGAAGACCAACTAATTAAGACGCAGGCTGCATTCGGGTTAAAGTTTAACTGCAACACTTTACAACTCTAGCAAGCAATGAACACACACTGGCACACACATAAATTGGCATACACAGACTCCCACACACACCGCTACACCCAAACAAACACACTCACTCACACACACTCGCGTATTCGTTTCCGTGTTGAGCGCTCGACCTTTTTCAAATTTGTTGGTTCGTGGCAATGCGAGTCGCGCGAGCTGCTCACGGCTTGGTGTCTGGTTGGGCACTGCTGCAAGTGCTGCACGGCCAGCTCGCTTTTGTGGCAAACAGAGTTCTATATGCCAAACACACACACATACAGAGAGACATGCTAACAGAGCCGAAGTGGAAAAACGACTGAATGTAGGTCCCTGTTGTCAAACCGCGCCCGCCGTCAGCTGCCAGCAACGTGTGTAAACGCTCAAATGCGAGTGGGTGTGTGTGTGTGTGAGAGTGGGTGTGCGCGTGTGTGTGTGGGCGACTTGTTGTCCTTGTCGCCTTTATACACTCAAAAAGTGACAAGTACACAGATGCCCGAATATCCTCGGAGCTACAATATATGAAATAATAATAATATTATTTATGGCATTTTGAATATTATCATTGATGAATTGAGTTTCAGAGTTGAGGGATAGATACTGTGTATAGGATATCTAATACATGAGGCATATAGAATAGTATAACAGCAACCGACAGCGGACGGGTATAATAGTTAAGTTGTTCAAATGATTTGCTGAGCGCATTTCAGACTATGAGAAAAACATCTCGAACTTAAATTTTTCTCAGTGTATAAATTGGAAATGGCCCTCAAATGCATTGACAGAGTTATGCTACAGCAGTTGTTGTTTTTCTCTAGCTTTCGCAATTCGCAGGCTCGGAAAACATACAAGTTTGTAGGCTCAAAAATTGAAGGACTACATTTGGCAATAACCAAGGCTAAACGATTCCAAAATGTCAGGGAACGCGCGTGAGAGACCCTGAGCATAGCTCAGATGGCACAACAAAACACTTTACTTAACCAGGCTCTGTGCGAGGCTCATAATAAAGCTTGCTGTTGTTGCGGCCTATTCCTTGGTAAATATGTCTATTATGCCATTTGAATGTTTTCCCTCTTTGTATATGCGAGGATGTGGTTATGTGTGTGTATGTTGGGCTGTGTGTATGGGGAAGTCGGTATGGGTGTGGGTGTGGGAGTATATCTGTGCATGTGCATGGGTTTGGGTGTGTGTTTGTCTATTTCTATCCAAATTGTTGCACTGCCGCAGGAAGCAAAACACAAGCAACAAGCCTCGAAGTCTGGCTGGCAGCAGGCAGGAGGCCGCGACAAGCTCTTGCCTGCCATCATTTCAGTTATACACGGGCGCCCATGGCGTATACGCAATTTCCGAAAGCTTCTGTCTTTATCATTGTGTTTGTCCTGCCAATTGTCGTTATGTGAATGGGTTCCCTCCATGGCGAACCGTAGCGTTATTGCTATATTTCCTTTAGCCAATGCGTCTTCCGCCCAGGCCATTCGCATAAGTTGCGTAAAGCTGATTTAAGCCTGGGTCAACAATTACCGACTCAACCTCTCTCTCTCACTCGCCCTTTTGTTCATTCTCTTGTTTAAAGTTTAACGGCAGTTGCGAAGTTTCAGTTTTATTGCTTTGCCCGTTAGCATTCATATTTAGCGCATTGAAGTCCACTCCACTCATAGCTCAAAACCACTCACTCAATATGAGTGAGAGTAAGATTGAGAGGGAGAGTAAGAGCGAATACCCACCCTTCATGAAGCGTTAAGCTTAGGATGCGCGCGCGCTCTCTGCGAATAGCTGGCTTTCCTGCTCTACCACGCAAAGGTTCAAAAACCTTGGGCCTGGTTCAATACACACAAACAATGCGAAACTGGCAGATACACTGTACGAATTACATTTCGAAAATTCATTCATTAAAACTTTGTAGTCGTATGCCTTGAGTAAAATTAAGACGATTTTGGACTTGTGCACCATTGTGCACCAAATGATAAGAACAAGCCCTATCGATTAAAACCCACAATTTTTCATACTGAAATTTTACCATATTTTTAAAACTGAGTTCGATCGGATATCGATAACTTCTTAAGTCATCTTGATACCGAATAATTTTTATTAATATTACATGAATTGTTATTGTTCTGTATTGTTTTGATAATTTAACTTGATTATTTAATATTCAAAAACAAAGTCGTTCTCAGGCATAACAGAATTAAATAAAACATTGGCTACACATTTCTGGTAATCTTGACTATACCGATTATTAATATTTTCAAACAATTTGAATATAAACATATTATATTATTATTATTTAAATTATTATTATTTTATTTATTTTTTATTATTATTTTTATTTCATTTATTTATCTTTTTTTTAATTTTTTGCATACATCAAAACATTTGTACAATTCGTCTATAATTGCATTCATATTGGAACTACAACGACGTGTATAACAAAGTTGAGTCTACCGTTATAGTATAACAGAATTGAACAGCACATTCAAATGACGCGCGCATTACTAGAAATTTCCACAGCACCAGTCTGGCAAGCCTGTCAGAGTGTGTGTTGCTATCCCCCTCGCACAAAAAATGTCTGGCAACACAAAAAGAAACATATATATGTACATACATACATACACATGTACATATATGTATGTAATTTATAAATGGAAATTTGCCTGTAGACTTTAATAAACTCGATCTATAACCACATATGAGTTTTAAAAAAATGCATATTCATATGTACATATATTTTTGCTATGCATACGTGCATATGTATATACATATGTACATATGTATGTATATATTTCAATCCACCCTAGAATGTGGTAAATTCTAGAACGAAAATTTTGCAGCTTTGGCAAGAGTATACCAAGCAGTGTTGCCGTTTTGGCTTATTTTCGGCCAGATCTCACTTATTTTCAAGTGCGATTGCGGAAAAAATGTTGGAATCGCGGATAGCGGAAAATCTGGCTTATTTATGAATCGAATCTGATATTTTTATTTTTAGATATTAGTTACCGATTAATAGACAAATTAACAAGCTGGCAACTATTAAATGCTCACATCACTAGTTCTGCAATTCTTCACTCTTTAACATATAGTGGATAAATATATTGGCTGTTGCGCTTCGCATACATTCGTTACCTTGGTGGAATGCCGAAGTCAATTAGCCAGGATGAGCATTGACACGTTAAACTCAACAATAAGGTAAAGGCTCAAAAAATTACAGTCTCATTAAAACAGAAACTAATATTTTTAAATTTGACATCCGAATTGAGCCGACATAACAGATGTTGTTTTGATTACATAGTTTTTCTCAACTGCCTTAAATCGATCGAAACACCAGGGAAGATTTAAATTATGAGCCCGAAGAGTCTGTCGACTATCTACAGGAAGATTTATTATCAATGTAAACATTTAAATGAATGTAATGTTAAAATTTCTATTATTTTGGTTGTGTTTTTCATGAATATGAAATGTTTGTTACAATATTTGTACGTGTATTGTCTATTACTATATATAAAATCAATTCCAAAATATTAGCTTATTTTTCAGCTAATTGTTTCTGGGATTTTGCTTATTTTGGCCTATTTTTTGCCCAAATTCAGCTGTTTTTTTTTCTCGGGGAAAAACGGCAACACTGATACCAAGCAGTCAGCCAGTCAACACTTAGCAGTGTATTCACTCACTCTATTGATCAAATGGTATGGAGCACAAGGGAGACAAATCGATTTCTCTAGAATCATCCAGAAGGCAGCAGCCTCTGGGTATAAATACAGGCGGACTACTCGCATCGCAGTCATTCGAAAATAATAAGTGTTAAAGTGAAGTTCTCCAGTGAAAGTAAAAAAGTTTGATAGAGAGGTTTCTCTTGAAATAGTGCATAGTTGCTATATATAAAGATTACTCAACTGCAATGAAAAAGTGTGCAGAATCTGTGGGAAAGGCAAAACTGCGGAGCTATATTATGGCACGTCGACTGAAATAGTTGGTAGCGCCCTTTGAGCTTTTTGCTGTGTACAAGGAAAAGATAATCTGCTCGTCGTCATCGTCGTGAGCACTTTTGAGGCATTTTCACATTGAGGAAATGGTTAAACAGGAAATCAATGGCCAAGTTTTTCCCCACATTCGGCTAGAGAAATTACACTGTAGGCAGGCAGAGGCAGATGCCAGGAGCTTGTAATAAAATTGCTGAGGCAAGCAAAAATTATAGCCAGACCCCGGAGTGTATGTTCTGACCTGGAATTGAGGAGTTTGGAGTTTAGGAAGACAGGTATAAACCGAAACAGCGAAACCAGCTTTTTACTTGTTATACGTAAGCGAAAAATCTATGCATAAGGCCTAGTTTTATTTCCCACGTATTTGCAATTTGAAGCGTTTTTAATGGTGACGTCAGCATAACTTTTGCATTCTAAAGTAAACGTTTATTCTTATATTGGCAAATATTGTGTAATTTTCTTAATATTGAATTGTACTGCGTAATACATACACATTCGAAGCTTCTAGAACAATTTCCACCCCATGCAAAGTCATGTTTTCTAGCCATCCGTGTATGTATACTTTTTCGGTCACATCAAGCAAATTCTCGACTGTTCGTTGCTTAAACCCCTGAAAGGAAAGCAGCTGGCCTGCTCTAACATGTAATAGCATTGTATTTCATGACATACAAAACTCGTATACACGTATTCTATCTCGTTTGCCCTTACGCAGACGCCGTTCCGTGGCAAGACAGCAGCTGCAATACTCACCTCGTGGTGGGTTGTTGGTCCCACCCATTTTCAAGTGTATTTGTGTGTTCCCATCTCTTTCTATACGTATACAAACATATATAAAAATGACTTGTATATAAGACGTTTCCTTCAACTGTCGCTTATAATTGGCAATTCTTTTAGTAACTAAATCATAAGTTCTTTAGTCGTTTATAGCCTTAGTTGTTAATCTTATTTATAAACTGTCACTTTGATCATTGTTATACACGTTAACCAAGCATTATGTATTTCTTTCTCTAAACTTTATAGTTGGGCGTTGAAAGTTGATACGCGATCGAACTTGATCGCAATGCGTGAGAAAAAGCCTTACAATTAGCTCAAAATGCTGCTTGTTCGGTCCCATGTAGCCGTGAGAGTATATCTAAGCTAAACTGCGACCAAATGTGTGTGTGTATGTCGCGGCCTACACAGGGGTACTAAACATCGTTTTTATCAGATTGTGATTGCGTGGATTGAATATATATAGGAACCCGTATCGACTTCTCTGCTCTGCTAAGACTTGTTCGAAAGAAAGGCGCCCAAATACATACGTTATATAAACGGTCGTCTATTATTCACCTACCATCGACCGTTATCTCAATACTGATCGAATAGATACAACACTCTACTGACATCGATAGATATACATATATATCTAGTATCTGGAGTAGCAACCGATTGCGCGTTCATTTCGCGCAAAGCATAAACTGTAGAATATATTTTATTTACTTTATATATTTTTTTTTCCTTTGTTAACGTAAACATTTACGAGTACACGACAAGCGTGGCCTAACTCATAAAATACCTGAAACTGTAAAAAATACAAAACAATTTATTTCTTCTGTTTTTGTACAAATCCAAGATTTAAGAAAACTTGTCTATTGTTCTTGTAATTACACTTGTCCAACTCACTTATAGAAAATGAGAAGAAAAAAAAGAAAAAAAAAAATATGAAAAAGAGCTCACCAAACAGAAAAGAAGCTACAAACAAAAAAGAATAAATGAAATCTGAGATCAATAAATTTCGAAACAATTGTTCGCCATATTTTTATTTTAAGCTTAAATTCTAAATGAAATTTCAGTCGAATCATCATAAGCGGAGGAAGGGACACAGATCTAAACCTAAATAAACCCGCAGGTTTATTCACAAAATAATTAAAAATCTAAGGAAGCCACACTCACATGCTTTTTCGACGTAGCATACACAAATCCTCTTAAAAAAACGGTATATATATGAATAAAAATCTTAAATATATTTTAGCGACTCAGTTAAAATATCAATAATTCATATATTATATTCATAAAACATTAAGGAAGTTTTAATCTTTAAACCACATTATTGAAAGTATCATGTCTAAGAAAACATGCGTATGGTACATTGACGTAATTCACAGCGGTCTATAAAAATAAATTAATGGTAAAAAGAAAATTGATTAGATTTCAAAAGCTATGAACCTTATTTGAACATTTTCTGATGCTAAGAAATGAAACTTATAAGATTTCTAGTTTTTAATTATCTCAACTAATATTTATCCAACATATTCGAGTTATTATAGTAATATGTACTCCTACATATATGATGGTTAAATAAAGTCGAAATTTTAACAATTTAAACAAAATATTTCACGATTTTTCACAATTCTTGACGATATTTGCGAAATTATTATAATAGGGTCTATTCATACATTTTTGGCTTTAAATGATATCAAAGGCAGAATTTAGCGCCCAAAGAATTTCTAAGTTTCAATGCAACAATTCTTCCAATTGCGATCGCAAATGTTACTGAATTATAGACCTTCAACATCAATAAAAAAAAAAAAAGTAATATAAGCCCCTACACGTGATCCTACTCAAAAATGAACACAATAGCATGAGGATTTCAGCAGCTACTAAAAAACATGTTTTCTATACAATAATCTGTAAAAACCTCCCTAAGTTCTTCAAAGGTTCACAATTGTAATCAAATTGCAACTGCAGCTGCCACTATTTGTGACGTCTGCGTCTTGATTTTATAAATACGGGCAATATTTCTTCAATCTGATTTATTCAAAGTAACCCTCTTAATGAATTATTTGAGAAATTACAAATCTATATGAAACCTCGTCAAATTACGAACGAATATAAAAAAAGATAAATTTGTTTACGTGGGAGGCTCGAGTGAAAATACTAAAACGAAAAAATAGAATAGATGAGATAGCATAGCAATGACGCTGCATGCATATAGAAAACAGTTTATTAAAAAAACTATACTAAAAAGAACTGATTATATTTGACAACTATTGACTACATGGCCTAAAGAGATAGGCCAAAACTTGCGTTATAAAAAAACGGCCCATACAATTTTTACCTAATAACAAGAAATATATAGAACCACCGCAAAAGTAACGAATATATACGTGAAACACAAAACCTATTCTGCGGTGTACAAAACGAGTACAATGAACCGAATATATAAAAACAGAAATTTATAGGTGGTTTAAAATATTAATTTTCCTTGTGAACGGAAACAGCGTAAAGCCAAAAATGAATAGTAGGTAGATATAATTTCTTACCCTATTATATGGTATACTAAAACTAAAAGATAAAATGTAGATGAAAAATAAGTATAGGAACGCAATCTGCGACAAAGTGGGCGATAATACTGACAAGCAAACTGTAAAAATTACCCAGTGATACAATAAACTTGTAGAGTGTCTGACCACTAAATTTCCACATAAGGTAGGTGGTACACTAAATATACGTAAAACTAAACTTCCTATTAAATCGTACACAGGAACTACGTCAAACTAAAGAATGTGTAAAGATATAACTTCCCTATTAAATGGTACGCATAAACTACGTCAAATTGAAGAGTGTGTGAAGACACAATTTCCCTATTAGGTAGGTGGTACACTGTAACTACGTAAACCTAGAGTGTGTGAAGACACAAAAACCCTTTTAGGTAGGAGGTACACAAACACTGCGTAATACTAAAGAGTGTATGAATACATAATGTCCCCATTAGGTAGGAGGTACACAAACACTGCGTAAAACTACAGAGTGTGTGAAGATATAATTTCCCTATTAAATGGTGCACTAAATCTACGTAAGACTAAGGAGTGTGTGAAGACACATTTTCCCTATTAGGTAGGTGGTACACTGTAACTACGTAAACCTAGAGTGTGTGAAGACACAAAAACCCTTTTAGGTAGGAGGTACACAAACACTGCGTAATACTAAAGAGTGTATGAATACATAATGTCCCCATTAGGTAGGTGGTACACAAACACTACGTAAAACTAAAGAGTGTGTAAAGATATAACCTCCCTATTAAATGGTGCACTGCAACTACGTAAAACTACGTTGCGTAAAAACACATTCCCTATTAAATGATACGCAAACCCTGCGAAGAATTGAAGAGAGTGTGTGAAGACACAATATCCCCATTAAGTAGGTGGTACACAAACATTGCGTAATACTAAAGAGTGTATGAATACATAATGTCCCCATTAGGTAGGAGGTGCATAAACACTGCGTAAAACTACAGAGTGTGTGAAGATATAATTTCCCTATTAAATGGTGCACTAAATGTACGGAAAACTAAGGAGTGTGTGAAGACACAAAAACCCTTTTAGGTAGGAGGTACACAAACACTACGTAAAACTAAAGAGTGTGTGAAGATATAATTTCCCTATTAAATGGTGCACTAAATCTACGTAAGACTAAGGAGTGTGTGAAGACACATTTTCCCTATTAGGTAGGTGGTACACTGTAACTACGTAAACCTAGAGTGTGTGAAGACACAATAACCCTTTTAGGTAGGAGGTACCCAAACACTGCGAAAACTAAAGAGTGTATGAAGATATAATTTTCCTATTAAATGGTGCACTAAATCTACGTAAAACTAAGTAGTGTGTGAAGACACATTTTCCCTATTAGGTAGGTGGTACACTGTAACTACGTAAACCTAGAGTGTGTGAAGACACAAAAACCCTTTTAGGTAGGAGGTACACAAACACTGCGTAAAACTAAAGAGTGTGTGAAAATCTGAATTCCCTATTAAATGGTGCACTAAATCTATGTAAAACTACGTTGCGTAAAAACACATACGCAAACAGTGCGAAGAATTGAAGAGAGTGTGTGAAGACACAATAACCCTTTTAGGTAGAAGGTACACAAACACTGCGTAAAACTAAAGTGTGTGTGAAGATATGATTTCCTTATTAAATGGTACGCATAAACTACGTCAAATTGAAGAGTGTGTGAAGACACAAAAACCCTTTTAGGTAGGAGGTACCCAAACACTGCGTAAAACTAAAGAGTGTGTGAAGATAAATCTACGTAAAACTACGTTGCGTAAAAACACATTTCCTATTAAATAATACGCAAACACTGCGAAGAATTGAAGAGAGTATGTGAAGACACAATATCCCTACTAAACTATTAAACTACGACAAATTAAGAAGCGTGTGAGGACATAATGTCCCTTTTAGGTAGGTGGTACACAAACACTACGTAAAACTAAAGAGTGTGTAAAGATATAACCTCCCTATTAAATGGTGCACTGCAACTACGTAAAACTACGTTGCGTAAAAACACATTCCCTATTAAATGATACGCAAACACTGCGAAGAATTGAAGAGAGTGTGTGAAGACACAAAAGCCCTTTTAGGTAGGAGGTACACAAACACTGCGTAAAACTAAAGAGTGTGTGAAGATATGATTTCCCTATTAAATGGTGCACTAAATCTACGTAAAACTACGTTGCGTAAAGACACATTCCCCATTAAATGATACGCAAACACTGCGAAGAATTGAAGAGAGTGTGTGAAGACTCAAAAGCCCTTTTAGGTAGGAGGTACACAAACACTGCGTAATACTAAAGAGTGTATGAATACATAATGTCCCCATTAGGTAGGAGGTGCATAAACACTGCGTAAAACTACAGAGTGTGTGAATATATGATTTCCCTATTAAATAGTGCACTAAATCTACGTCAAATTAAGGAGTATGTGAAGACACAATTTCCCTATTAGGTAGGTGGTACACTGTAACTACGTAAACCTAGAGTGTGTGAAGACACAAAAAGCCTTTTAGGTAGGAGGTACACAAACACTGCGTAATACTAAAGAGTGTATGAATACATAATGTCCCCATTAGGTAGCAGGTACATAAACACTGTGTAAAACTAAAGAGTGTGTGAAGATATAATTTCCCTATTAAATGGTGCACATAGACTACGGTGCACTAAATCTACGTAAAACTACGTTGCGTGAAAACACATTCCCTATTAAATGATACGCAAACCCTGCGAAGAATTGAAGAGAGTGTGTGAAGACACAAAAGCCCTTTTAGGTAGGAGGTACACAAACACTGCGAAAACTAAAGAGTGTGTGAAAATCTGATTTCCCTATTAAATGGTGCACTAAATCTACGTAAAACTACGTTGCGTGAAAACACATTCCCTATTAAATGATACGCAAACCCTGCGAAGAATTGAAGAGAGTGTGTGAAGACACAAAAGCCCTTTTAGGTAGGAGGTACACAAACACTGCGTAATACTAAAGAGTGTATGAATACATAATGTCCCCATTAGGTAGGAGGTGCATAAACACTGCGTAAAACTACAGAGTGTGTGAAGATATAATTTCCCTATTAAATGGTGCACTAAATCTACGTAAGACTAAGGAGTGTGTGAAGACACATTTTCCCTATTAGGTAGGTGGTACACTGTAACTACGTAAACCTAGAGTGTGTGAAGACACAATAACCCTTTTAGGTAGGAGGTACCCAAACACTGCGAAAACTAAAGAGTGTGTAAAGATATAATTTCCCTATTAAATGGTGTACTAAGACTACGTAAGACTAAGGAGTGTGTGAAGACACATTTCCCCTATTAGGTAGGTGGTACACTGTAACTACGTAAACCTAGAGTGTGTGAAGACACAATAACCCTTTTAGGTAGGAGGTACACAAACACTGCGAAAACTAAAGAGTGTGTGAAGATATAATTTCCCTATTAAATGGTGCACTAAATCTACGTAAAACTACGTTGCGTGAAAACACATTCCCTATTAAATGATACGCAAACCCTGCGAAGAATTGAAGAGAGTGTGTGAAGACACAAAAGCCCTTTTAGGTAGGAGGTACACAAACACTGCGTAATACTAAAGAGTGTATGAATACATAATGTCCCCATTAGGTAGGAGGTGCATAAACACTGCGTAAAACTACAGAGTGTGTGAAGATATAATTTCCCTATTAAATGGTGCACTAAATCTACGTAAGACTAAGGAGTGTGTGAAGACACATTTTCCCTATTAGGTAGGTGGTACACTGTAACTACGTAAACCTAGAGTGTGTGAAGACACAAAAACCCTTTTAGGTAGGAGGTACCCAAACACTGCGTAATACTAAAGAGTGTATGAATACATAATGTCCCCATTAGGTAGGAGGTGCATAAACACTGCGTAAAACTCAAGAGTGTGTGAATATATGATTTCCCTATTAAATAGTGCACTAAATCTACGTAAAACTACGTGCGTAAAAACACATTCCCCATTAAATGATACGCAAACACTGCGAAGAATTGAAGAGAGTGTGTGAAGACACAAAAACCCTTTTAGGTAGGAGATACACAAACACTGCGTAAAACTAAAGAGTGTGTGAAGATATGATTTCCCTATTAAATGGTGCACTAAATCTACGTAAAACTACGTTGCGTAAAGACACATTCCCTATTAAATGATACGCAAACACTGCGAAGAATTGAAGAGAGTGTGTGAAGACACAAAAGCCCTTTTAGGTAGGAGGTACACAAACACTGCGAAAACTAAAGAGTGTGTGAAAATCTGATTTCCCTATTAAATGGTGCACTAAATCTATGTAAAACTACGTTGCGTAAAAACACATTCCCTATTAAATGATACGCAAACAGTGCGAAGAATTGAAGAGAGTGTGTGAAGACACAATAACCCTTTTAGGTAGAAGGTACACAAACACTGCGTAAAACTAAAGTGTGTGTGAAGATATGATTTCCTTATTAAATGGTACACATAAACGTCAAATTAAGGAGTGTGTGAAGACACAAAAACCCTTTTAGGTAGGAGGTACACAAACACTGCGTAATACTAAAGAGTGTATGAATACATAATGTCCCCATTAGGTAGGAGGTGCATAAACACTGCGTAAAACTCAAGAGTGTGTGAATATATGATTTCCCTATTAAATAGTGCACTAAATCTACGTAAAACTACGTGCGTAAAAACACATTCCCCATTAAATGATACGCAAACACTGCGAAGAATTGAAGAGAGTGTGTGAAGACACAAAAGCCCTTTTAGGTAGGAGGTACACAAACACTGCGAAAACTAAAGAGTGTGTGAAAATCTGATTTCCCTATTAAATGGTGCACTAAATCTACGTAAAACTACGTTGCGTGAAAACACATTCCCTATTAAATGATACGCAAACCCTGCGAAGAATTGAAGAGAGTGTGTGAAGACACAAAAGCCCTTTTAGGTAGGAGGTACACAAACACTGCGTAATACTAAAGAGTGTATGAATACATAATGTCCCCATTAGGTAGGAGGTGCATAAACACTGCGTAAAACTACAGAGTGTGTGAAGATATAATTTCCCTATTAAATGGTGCACTAAATCTACGTAAGACTAAGGAGTGTGTGAAGACACATTTTCCCTATTAGGTAGGTGGTACACTGTAACTACGTAAACCTAGAGTGTGTGAAGACACAATAACCCTTTTAGGTAGGAGGTACCCAAACACTGCGAAAACTAAAGAGTGTGTAAAGATATAATTTCCCTATTAAATGGTGTACTAAGACTACGTAAGACTAAGGAGTGTGTGAAGACACATTTCCCCTATTAGGTAGGTGGTACACTGTAACTACGTAAACCTAGAGTGTGTGAAGACACAATAACCCTTTTAGGTAGGAGGTACACAAACACTGCGAAAACTAAAGAGTGTGTGAAGATATAATTTCCCTATTAAATGGTGCACTAAATCTATGTAAAACTGCGTTGCGTAAAAACACATTCCCATTAAATGATACGCAAACAGTGCGAAGAATTGAAGAGAGTGTGTGAAGACACAAAAACCCTTTTAGGTAGGAGATACACAAACACTGCGTAAAACTAAAGAGTGTGTGAAGATATGATTTCCCTATTAAATGGTGCACTAAATCTACGTAAAACTACGTTGCGTAAAAACACATTCCCTATTAAATGATACGCAAACAGTGCGAAGAATTGAAGAGAGTGTGTGAAGACACAATAACCCTTTTAGGTAGAAGGTACACAAACACTGCGTAAAACTAAAGTGTGTGTGAAGATATGATTTCCTTATTAAATGGTACACATAAACGTCAAATTAAGGAGTGTGTGAAGACACAAAAACCCTTTTAGGTAGGAGGTACACAAACACTGCGTAATACTAAAGAGTGTATGAATACATAATGTCCCCATTAGGTAGGAGGTGCATAAACACTGCGTAAAACTCAAGAGTGTGTGAATATATGATTTCCCTATTAAATAGTGCACTAAATCTACGTAAAACTACGTGCGTAAAAACACATTCCCCATTAAATGATACGCAAACACTGCGAAGAATTGAAGAGAGTGTGTGAAGACACAAAAACCCTTTTAGGTAGGAGATACACAAACACTGCGAATAACTAAAGAGTGTATAAAGATATAACTTCCCTATTAAATGGTACACATAAACTACGTCAAATTAAGGAGTGTGTGAAGACACAATATCCCTATTAGGTAGTAGGTACACAAACACTGCGAATAACTAAAGAGTGTATAAAGATATAACTTCCCTATTAAATGGTACACATAAACTACGTCAAATTAAGGAGTGTGTGAAGACACAATATCCCTATTAGGTAGTAGGTACACAAACACTGCGAATAACTAAAGAGTGTATAAAGATATAACTTCCCTATTAAATGGTACACATAAACTACGTCAAATTAAGGAGTGTGTGAAGACACAATAACCCTTTTAGGTAGAAGGTACACAAACACTGCGTAATACTAAAGAGTGTATGAATACATAATGTCTCCATTAGGTAGGAGGTGCATAAACACTGCGTAAATCTACAGAGTGTGTGAATATATGATTTCCCTATTAAATAGTGCACTAAATCTACGTAAAACTACGTGCGTAAAAACACATTCCCCATTAAATGATACGCAAACACTGCGAAGAATTGAAGAGAGTGTGTGAAGACACAATATCCCTATTAAGTAGGTGGTACACAAACATTGCGTAATACTAAAGAGTGTGTGAATACATAATGTCCCCATTAGGTAGGTGGTACACAAACACTGCGAATAACTAAAGAGTGTATAAAGATATAACTTCCCTATTAAATGGTACACATAAACTACGTCAAATTAAGGAGTGTGTGAAGACACAATATCCCTATTAGGTAGTAGGTACACAAACACTGCGTAAAACTAAAGAGTTTGTAAAGATATAACTTCCCTATTAAATGGTACACATAAACGTCAAATTAAGGAGTGTGTGAAGACACAAAAACCCTTTTAGGTAGGAGGTACACAAACACTGCGTAAAACTCAAGAGTGTGTGAAGATATGATTTCCCTATTAAATGGTGCACTAAATCTACGTAAAACTACGTTGCGTGAAAACACATTCCCTATTAAATGATACGCAAACCCTGCGAAGAATTGAAGAGAGTGTGTGAAGACACAATATCCCCATTAAGTAGGTGGTACACAAACATTGCGTAATACTAAATAGTGTATGAATACATAATGTCCCCATTAGGTAGGAGGTGCATAAACACTGCGTAAAACTACAGAGTGTGTGAAGATATAATTTCCCTATTAAATGGTGCACTAAATCTACGTAAGACTAAGGAGTGTGTGAAGACACATTCCCTATTAAATGATACGCAAACCCTGCGAAGAATTGAAGAGAGTGTGTGAAGACACAATATCCCCATTAAGTAGGTGGTACACAAACATTGCGTAATACTAAAGAGTGTGTGAATACATAATGTCCCCATTAGGTAGGTGGTACACAAACACTGCGAATAACTAAAGAGTGTATAAAGATATAACTTCCCTATTAAATGGTACACATAAACTACGTCAAATTAAGGAGTGTGTGAAGACACAATATCCCTATTAGGTAGTAGGTACACAAACACTGCGTAAAACTAAAGAGTTTGTAAAGATATAACTTCCCTATTAAATGGTACACATAAACGTCAAATTAAGGAGTGTGTGAAGACACAAAAACCCTTTTAGGTAGGAGGTACACAAACACTGCGTAAAACTCAAGAGTGTGTGAAGATATGATTTCCCTATTAAATGGTGCACTAAATCTACGTAAAACTACGTTGCGTGAAAACACATTCCCTATTAAATGATACGCAAACCCTGCGAAGAATTGAAGAGAGTGTGTGAAGACACAATATCCCCATTAAGTAGGTGGTACACAAACATTGCGTAATACTAAATAGTGTATGAATACATAATGTCCCCATTAGGTAGGAGGTGCATAAACACTGCGTAAAACTACAGAGTGTGTGAAGATATAATTTCCCTATTAAATGGTGCACTAAATGTACGGAAAACTAAGGAGTGTGTGAAGACACAAAAACCCTTTTAGGTAGGAGGTACACAAACACTGCGTAAAACTAAAGAGTGTGTGAAGATATAATTTCCCTATTAAATGGTGCACTAAATCTACGTAAGACTAAGGAGTGTGTGAAGACACATTTTCCCTATTAGGTAGGTGGTACACTGTAACTACGTAAACCTAGAGTGTGTGAAGACACAATAACCCTTTTAGGTAGGAGGTACCCAAACACTGCGAAAACTAAAGAGTGTGTGAAAATATAATTTTCCTATTAAATGGTGCACTAAATCTACGTAAAACTAAGGAGTGTGTGAAGACACATTTTCCCTATTAGGTAGGTGGTACACTGTAACTACGTAAACCTAGAGTGTGTGAAGACACAAAAACCCTTTTAGGTAGGAGGTACACAAACACTGCGTAAAACTAAAGAGTGTGTGAAAATCTGAATTCCCTATTAAATGGTGCACTAAATCTATGTAAAACTACGTTGCGTAAAAACACATACGCAAACAGTGCGAAGAATTGAAGAGAGTGTGTGAAGACACAATAACCCTTTTAGGTAGAAGGTACACAAACACTGCGTAAAACTAAAGTGTGTGTGAAGATATGATTTCCTTATTAAATGGTACGCATAAACTACGTCAAATTGAAGAGTGTGTGAAGACACAAAAACCCTTTTAGGTAGGAGGTACCCAAACACTGCGTAAAACTAAAGAGTGTGTGAAGATAAATCTACGTAAAACTACGTTGCGTAAAAACACATTTCCTATTAAATAATACGCAAACACTGCGAAGAATTGAAGAGAGTATGTGAAGACACAATATCCCTACTAAACTATTAAACTACGACAAATTAAGAAGCGTGTGAGGACATAATGTCCCTTTTAGGTAGGTGGTACACAAACACTACGTAAAACTAAAGAGTGTGTGAAGATATGATTTCCCTATTAAATGGTGCACTAAATCTACGTAAGACTAAGGAGTGTGTGAAGACACATTTTCCCTATTAGGTAGGTGGTACACTGTAACTACGTAAACCTAGAGTGTGTGAAGACACAAAAACCCTTTTAGGTAGGAGGTACACAAACACTGCGTAATACTAAAGAGTGTATGAATACATAATGTCCCCATTAGGTAGGTGGTACACAAACACTACGTAAAACTAAAGAGTGTGTAAAGATATAACCTCCCTATTAAATGGTGCACTGCAACTACGTAAAACTACGTTGCGTAAAAACACATTCCCTATTAAATGATACGCAAACCCTGCGAAGAATTGAAGAGAGTGTGTGAAGACACAATATCCCCATTAAGTAGGTGGTACACAAACATTGCGTAATACTAAAGAGTGTATGAATACATAATGTCCCCATTAGGTAGGAGGTGCATAAACACTGCGTAAAACTACAGAGTGTGTGAAGATATAATTTCCCTATTAAATGGTGCACTAAATGTACGGAAAACTAAGGAGTGTGTGAAGACACAAAAACCCTTTTAGGTAGGAGGTACACAAACACTACGTAAAACTAAAGAGTGTGTGAAGATATAATTTCCCTATTAAATGGTGCACTAAATCTACGTAAAACTACGTTGCGTGAAAACACATTCCCTATTAAATGATACGCAAACCCTGCGAAGAATTGAAGAGAGTGTGTGAAGACACAATATCCCCATTAAGTAGGTGGTACACAAACATTGCGTAATACTAAATAGTGTATGAATACATAATGTCCCCATTAGGTAGGTGGTACACAAACACTGCGAATAACTAAAGAGTGTATAAAGATATAACTTCCCTATTAAATGGTACACATAAACTACGTCAAATTAAGGAGTGTGTGAAGACACAATATCCCTATTAGGTAGTAGGTACACAAACACTGCGTAAAACTAAAGAGTTTGTAAAGATATAACTTCCCTATTAAATGGTACACATAAACGTCAAATTAAGGAGTGTGTGAAGACACAAAAACCCTTTTAGGTAGGAGGTACACAAACACTACGTAAAACTAAAGAGTGTGTGAAGATATAATTTCCCTATTAAATGGTGCACTAAATCTACGTAAAACTACGTTGCGTGAAAACACATTCCCTATTAAATGATACGCAAACCCTGCGAAGAATTGAAGAGAGTGTGTGAAGACACAATATCCCCATTAAGTAGGTGGTACACAAACATTGCGTAATACTAAATAGTGTATGAATACATAATGTCCCCATTAGGTAGGAGGTGCATAAACACTGCGTAAAACTACAGAGTGTGTGAAGATATAATTTCCCTATTAAATGGTGCACTAAATGTACGGAAAACTAAGGAGTGTGTGAAGACACAAAAACCCTTTTAGGTAGGAGGTACACAAACACTGCGTAAAACTAAAGAGTGTGTGAAGATATAATTTCCCTATTAAATGGTGCACTAAATCTACGTAAGACTAAGGAGTGTGTGAAGACACATTTTCCCTATTAGGTAGGTGGTACACTGTAACTACGTAAACCTAGAGTGTGTGAAGACACAATAACCCTTTTAGGTAGGAGGTACCCAAACACTGCGAAAACTAAAGAGTGTGTGAAAATATAATTTTCCTATTAAATGGTGCACTAAATCTACGTAAAACTAAGGAGTGTGTGAAGACACATTTTCCCTATTAGGTAGGTGGTACACTGTAACTACGTAAACCTAGAGTGTGTGAAGACACAAAAACCCTTTTAGGTAGGAGGTACACAAACACTGCGTAAAACTAAAGAGTGTGTGAAAATCTGAATTCCCTATTAAATGGTGCACTAAATCTATGTAAAACTACGTTGCGTAAAAACACATACGCAAACAGTGCGAAGAATTGAAGAGAGTGTGTGAAGACACAATAACCCTTTTAGGTAGAAGGTACACAAACACTGCGTAAAACTAAAGTGTGTGTGAAGATATGATTTCCTTATTAAATGGTACGCATAAACTACGTCAAATTGAAGAGTGTGTGAAGACACAAAAACCCTTTTAGGTAGGAGGTACCCAAACACTGCGTAAAACTAAAGAGTGTGTGAAGATAAATCTACGTAAAACTACGTTGCGTAAAAACACATTTCCTATTAAATAATACGCAAACACTGCGAAGAATTGAAGAGAGTATGTGAAGACACAATATCCCTACTAAACTATTAAACTACGACAAATTAAGAAGCGTGTGAGGACATAATGTCCCTTTTAGGTAGGTGGTACACAAACACTACGTAAAACTAAAGAGTGTGTGAAGATATGATTTCCCTATTAAATGGTGCACTAAATCTACGTAAGACTAAGGAGTGTGTGAAGACACATTTTCCCTATTAGGTAGGTGGTACACTGTAACTACGTAAACCTAGAGTGTGTGAAGACACAATAACCCTTTTAGGTAGGAGGTACCCAAACACTGCGAAAACTAAAGAGTGTGTAAAGATATAATTTCCCTATTAAATGGTGTACTAAGACTACGTAAGACTAAGGAGTGTGTGAAGACACATTTCCCCTATTAGGTAGGTGGTACACTGTAACTACGTAAACCTAGAGTGTGTGAAGACACAATAACCCTTTTAGGTAGGAGGTACCCAAACACTGCGAAAACTAAAGAGTGTGTAAAGATATAATTTCCCTATTAAATGGTGTACTAAGACTACGTAAGACTAAGGAGTGTGTGAAGACACATTTCCCCTATTAGGTAGGTGGTACACTGTAACTACGTAAACCTAGAGTGTGTGAAGACACAATAACCCTTTTAGGTAGGAGGTACCCAAACACTGCGAAAACTAAAGAGTGTGTAAAGATATAATTTCCCTATTAAATGGTGTACTAAGACTACGTAAGACTAAGGAGTGTGTGAAGACACATTTCCCCTATTAGGTAGGTGGTACACTGTAACTACGTAAACCTAGAGTGTGTGAAGACACAATAACCCTTTTAGGTAGGAGGTACACAAACACTGCGAAAACTAAAGAGTGTGTGAAGATATAATTTCCCTATTAAATGGTGCACTAAATCTATGTAAAACTACGTTGCGTAAAAACACATTCCCATTAAATGATACGCAAACAGTGCGAAGAATTGAAGAGAGTGTGTGAAGACACAAAAACCCTTTTAGGTAGGAGATACACAAACACTGCGTAAAACTAAAGAGTGTGTGAAGATATGATTTCCCTATTAAATGGTGCACTAAATCTACGTAAAACTACGTTGCGTAAAGACACATTCCCTATTAAATGATACGCAAACACTGCGAAGAATTGAAGAGAGTGTGTGAAGACACAAAAGCCCTTTTAGGTAGGAGGTACACAAACACTGCGAAAACTAAAGAGTGTGTGAAAATCTGATTTCCCTATTAAATGGTGCACTAAATCTATGTAAAACTACGTTGCGTAAAAACACATTCCCTATTAAATGATACGCAAACAGTGCGAAGAATTGAAGAGAGTGTGTGAAGACACAATAACCCTTTTAGGTAGAAGGTACACAAACACTGCGTAAAACTAAAGTGTGTGTGAAGATATGATTTCCTTATTAAATGGTACGCATAAACTACGTCAAATTGAAGAGTGTGTGAAGACACAAAAACCCTTTTAGGTAGGAGGTACACAAACACTGCGTAATACTAAAGAGTGTATGAATACATAATGTCCCCATTAGGTAGGAGGTGCATAAACACTGCGTAAAACTACAGAGTTTGTAAAGATATAACTTCCCTATTAAATGGTACACATAAACGTCAAATTAAGGAGTGTGTGAAGACACAAAAACCCTTTTAGGTAGGAGGTACACAAACACTGCGTAATACTAAAGAGTGTATGAATACATAATGTCCCCATTAGGTAGGAGGTGCATAAACACTGCGTAAAACTCAAGAGTGTGTGAATATATGATTTCCCTATTAAATAGTGCACTAAATCTACGTAAAACTACGTGCGTAAAAACACATTCCCCATTAAATGATACGCAAACACTGCGAAGAATTGAAGAGAGTGTGTGAAGACACAATAACCCTTTTAGGTAGAAGGTACACAAACACTGCGTAAAACTAAAGAGTGTGTGAAGATATAACTTCCCTATTAAATGGTGCACTAAATCTACGTAAAACTACGTTGCGTAAAAACATATTCCTTATTAGATGATAAGCAAACACTGCGAAGAATTGAAGAGTGTGTGAAGACAGAATATCCCTATTAGGTAGAAGGTACACAAACACTGCGTAATACTAAAGAGTGTATGAATACATAATGTCCCCATTAGGTAGGAGGTGCATGTACACTGCGTAAAACTCAAGAGTGTGTGAATATATGATTTCCCTATTAAATAGGGCACTAAATCTACGTAAAACTACGTGCGTAAAAACACATTCCCCATTAAATGATACGCAAACACTGCGAAGAATTGAAGAGAGTGTGTGAAGACACAATAACCCTTTTAGGTAGAAGGTACACAAACACTGCGTAAAACTAAAGAGTGTGTGAAGATATAACTTCCCTATTAAATGGTGCACTAAATCTACGTAAAACTACGTTGCGTAAAAACATATTCCTTATTAGATGATAAGCAAACACTGCGAAGAATTGAAGAGTGTGTGAAGACAGAATATCCCTATTAGGTAGAAGGTACACAAACACTGCGTAATACTAAAGAGTGTATGAATACATAATGTCCCCATTAGGTAGGAGGTGCATGAACACTGCGTAAAACTCAAGAGTGTGTGAATATATGATTTCCCTATTAAATAGTGCACTAAATCTACGTAAAACTACGTGCGTAAAAACACATTCCCCATTAAATGATACGCAAACACTGCGAAGAATTGAAGAGAGTGTGTGAAGACACAATAACCCTTTTAGGTAGAAGGTACACAAACACTGCGTAAAACTAAAGAGTGTGTGAAGATATAACTTCCCTATTAAATGGTGCACTAAATCTACGTAAAACTACGTTGCGTAAAAACATATTCCTTATTAGATGATAAGCAAACACTGCGAAGAATTGAAGAGTGTGTGAAGACAGAATATCCCTATTAGGTAGAAGGTACACAAACACTGCGTAATACTAAAGAGTGTATGAATACATAATGTCCCCATTAGGTAGGAGGTGCATGAACACTGCGTAAAACTCAAGAGTGTGTGAATATATGATTTCCCTATTAAATAGGGCACTAAATCTACGTAAAACTACGTGCGTAAAAACACATTCCCCATTAAATGATACGCAAACACTGCGAAGAATTGAAGAGAGTGTGTGAAGACACAATAACCCTTTTAGGTAGAAGGTACACAAACACTGCGTAAAACTAAAGAGTGTGTGAAGATATAACTTTCCTATTAAATGGTGCACTAAATCTACGTAAAACTACGTTGCGTAAAAACATATTCCCTATTAGATGATAAGCAAACACTGCGAAGAATTGAAGAGTGTGTGAAGACAGAATATCCCTATTAGGTAGAAGGTACACAAACATTGCGTAATACTAAAGAGGGTGTGAATACATAATGTCCCCATTAGGTAGGAGGTACATAAACACTGCGTAAAACTAAAGAGTGTGTAAAGATATAACTTCCCTATTAAATGGTACACATAAACGTTAAATTAAGGAGTGTGTGAAGACTCAAAAACCCTTTTAGGTAGGAGGTACACAAACACTGCGTAAAACTAAAGAGTGTGTGAAGATATGATTTCCCTATTAAATGGTGCACTAAATCTACGGAAAACTACGTTGCGTAAAGACAGATTCCCTATTAAATGATACGCAAACACTGCGAAGAATTGAAGAGAGTGTGTGAAGACACAAAAACCCTTTTAGGTAGGAGATACACAAACACTGCGTAAAACTAAAGAGTGTGTGAAGATATGATTTCCCTATTAAATGGTGCACTAAATCTACGTAAAACTACGTTGCGTAAAGACACATTCCCTATTAAATGATACGCAAACACTGCGAAGAATTGAAGAGAGTGTGTGAAGACACAAAAGCCCTTTTAGGTAGGAGGTACACAAACACTGCGTAAAACTAAAGAGTGTGTGAAGATATGATTTCCCTATTAAATGGTGCACTAAATCTACGTAAAACTACGTTGCGTAAAGACACATTCCCTATTAAATGATACGCAAACACTGCGAAGAATTGAAGAGAGTGTGTGAAGACACAAAAGCCCTTTTAGGTAGGAGGTACACAAACACTGCGTAATACTAAAGAGTGTATGAATACATAATGTCCCCATTAGGTAGGAGGTGCATAAACACTGCGTAAAACTCAAGAGTGTGTGAATATATGATTTCCCTATTAAATAGTGCACTAAATCTACGTAAAACTACGTGCGTAAAAACACATTCCCCATTAAATGATACGCAAACACTGTGAAGAATTGAAGAGAGTGTGTGAAGACACAATAACCCTTTTAGGTAGAAGGTACACAAACACTGCGAATAACTAAAGAGTGTATAAAGATATAACTTCCCTATCAAATGGTACACATAAACTACGTCAAATTAAGGAGTGTGTGAAGACACAATATCCCTATTAGGTAGTAGGTACACAAACACTGCGAATAACTAAAGAGTGTATAAAGATATAACTTCCCTATTAAATGGTACACATAAACTACGTCAAATTAAGGAGTGTGTGAATACATAATGTCCCCATTAGGTAGGAGGTACATAAACACTGCGTAAAACTAAAGAGTTTGTAAAGATATAACTTCCCTATTAAATGGTACACATAAACGTCAAATTAAGGAGTGTGTGAAGACACAAAAACCCTTTTAGGTAGGAGGTACACAAACACTGCGTAAAACTCAAGAGTGTGTGAATATATGATTTCCCTACTAAATAGTGCACTAAATCTACGTAAAACTACGTGCGTAAAAACACATTCCCCATTAAATGATACGCAAACACTGCGAAGAATTGAAGAGAGTGTGTGAAGACACAATAACCCTTTTAGGTAGAAGGTACACAAACACTGCCTAAAACTAAAGAGTGTGTGAAGATATAACTTCCCTATTGAATGGTGCACTAAATCTACGTAAAACTACGTTGCGTAAAAACATATTCCCTATTAGATGATAAGCAAACACTGCGAAGAATTGAAGAGTGTGTGAAGACAGAATATCCCTATTAGGTAGAAGGTACATAAACACTGCGTAATACTAAAGAGTGTATGAATACATAATGTCCCCATTAGGTAGGAGGTGCATAAACACTGCGTAAAACTACAGAGTGTGTGAAGATATAATTTCCCTATTAAATGGTGCACTAAATCTACGGAAAACTAAGGAGTGTGTGAAGACACAAAAACCCTTTTAGGTAGGAGGTACACAAACACTGCGTAAAACTAAAGAGTGTGTGAAGATATAATTTCCCTATTAAATAGTGCACTAAATCTACGTAAAACTACGTGCGTAAAAACACATTCCCCATTAAATGATACGCAAACACTGCGAAGAATTGAAGAGAGTGTGTGAAGACACAATAACCCTTTTAGGTAGAAGGTACACAAACACTGCGTAAAACTAAAGAGTGTGTGAAGATATAACTTCCCTATTAAATGGTGCACTAAATCTACGTAAAACTACGTTGCGTAAAAACATATTCCCTATTAGATGATAAGCAAACACTGCGAAGAATTGAAGAGTGTGTGAAGACAGAATATCCCTATTAGGTAGAAGGTACACAAACATTGCGTAATACTAAAGAGGGTGTGAATACATAATGTCCCCATTAGGTAGGAGGTGCATGAACACTGCGTAAAACTCAAGAGTGTGTGAAGATATGATTTCCCTATTAAATGGTGCACTAAATCTACGTAAAACTACGTTGCGTAAAGACACATTCCCTATTAAATGATACGCAAACACTGCGAAGAATTGAAGAGAGTGTGTGAAGACACAAAAGCCCTTTTAGGTAGGAGGTACACAAACACTGCGTAATACTAAAGAGTGTATGAATACATAATGTCCCCATTAGGTAGGAGGTGCATAAACACTGCGTAAAACTCAAGAGTGTGTGAAGATATAATTTCCCTATTAAATGGTGCACTAAATCTACGGAAAACTAAGGAGTGTGTGAAGATACAAAAACCCTTTTAGGTAGGTGGTACACAAACACTGCGTTAAACTCAAGAGTGTGTGAATATATGATTTCCTTATTAAATGGTGCACTAAATCTACATAAATCTAAAGAGCGTGTGAAGATACAATATCCCTATTAGGTAGGTAGTACACTGTAACTACGTAAATCTAGAGTGTGTGAAGACACAATATCCCTATTAGGTAGTAGGTACACAAACACTGCGTAAAACGAAAGACTGTGTGAATACATAATGTCCCCATTAGGTAGGAGGTGCATAAACACTGCGTAAAACTAAAGAGTTTGTGAAGATATAACATCCCTATTAAATGATACACATAAACTACGTCAAATTAAGGAGTGTGTGGAGACTCAATATCCCTATTAGTTAGGGCATACACAAACACTGCGTAAATCAAGTAAAACGTTGCAGTTTGGCGCTACCAACTACGGAATACTCATTCACATCCCATCAGCAATTTAGTAGTTAAGCTTTGCTCTAATACTGTAGAAAATTAAGTTTTTCCCGATTTGCCACGCCCCTACTGGGTGTAGACATCTCATTTTGGTGAGTTCTTAGAACGATCCAACGGTAAACTAACGGCAAAATTTGAATTACAACCCCCCTAATGGGCGTAGAAATATAATTTTCTGATTAGACTTTATAGAATCATAACATGCTTACACATACAGCTTACATGCAAAATTTCAGCTTCTATCTGTAAAACTCTTGGAGATACAGTTTTATCCGATTTGCCACGCCCCAATAGGCGTAGATATATCCGCCATAGCTCGTGATCTTGGTTGATCGACGCAGATCTACATTCTAAATTTCAGCTTTCTAGCTCTTCAACTAATATGATTTCTGGCATTTTGGAAAATGCATTATCCGATTTGCCACGCCCCTAGTGGGCGGATCTGGAAAATTTTAACACTTAATAAATCGGAGTACACGAGTATGTGTTTCAAATTTCAAGTTTCTAGCTTCAATAGCGGACAATAGCTTCATACGGACAGACGGTCTGTCGGACAGACGGACGGACAGCAAGACGGACATTGCACAAAACCGATATACTAATTCACTTTCGTGAATGAGTGTGAAAATATAATTTCCTTGTTGGATGGTACACAAAATCTACGTAAAACTACGGTGTTTAATAAGAAAAAAAGCAAAATATGCTAGCACTGCGAAAAATTAAGGAGAGTGTATGAACATAACTTCCCTATTAGGTATGTGGTACACTGAAACTACGTCAAACTAAGGAGTGTGTAAAACATAAATTCCCTATGAACACATAATTTCCCCGAAATTACGTTAAACTATGAGTGTGTGATGACATAAGATCCATATTAGGTAGAAGGTACCCAAACACTGCCTGAAACTAAAGAGTCTGTGAAGACATAAAATCCTTATTAGGTAGGTGGTACACAAACACTGCGTAAAACTAAAGAGTGTGTTTTTACAAAACTACGTTAAACTAATGAGTGTGTAAAACCGTAATTCCGTTTTTGAACGATATGCAAGCATTGACTAAGCGTGTATAAACACATAATTTTTCTATGGTACCTAAAAAGAGTTTAAAAGAGTGTGGTGACAAATGTATAGTCGTGTGAAAAAAATAATTTTTTTATGACGATGGAGGTGTATTTATACTGGGAAAAAGTTTAGATAGGCTGTAATCGCATTAATAGGTGCCTGTTATATAGATTGTATACAAACACTGAGCCTTTACACATCTTTATAAATACACTCCACAATATTAAATGTTTTGGATTTTAATTTTTTAGCTTTAGTTTAAACATAATCAATGTTCTATAATATATCCTTTTGTAGTATATCTACAATTAAATCGAATCAATGCATGAAATACATATATTATTTTGTGTGTCTTGGCACTTCTTACTGAATTTGTATTGACATTGCTATTTATTAATAATACACTATTCATCTGGATGAGAAAATTTAATTTAAAAGCCTACTTCAATTATATGGGTCACATTCGAAGCTTCGTTTAAATTCCTAGTTTCCTTAACGTTCAGTTTTTTATCAGTTGTGAAATTAATTGCATTTCTGATTTGTAATCTATAACACAACACTTTAAGACCTTTTCAAAGGTACTATATACACTCATGGTCAAATTAATAGGTGTGAAATTTTTTTTTTTTTTAAATGGGAATAACGTCTATATTTTTTCATGAAACTAAAAAATTCAACTTATATTAAAAAATAGACACATCATAGAATAACAACAACAAAAAACAAGTTTAAAAAATAATAATTTTTAGTATAATTTTGGCATACTTCACAAAAAACTCAAATTTTTGCTGGCCAGATTAATAGGTGTGCCCAGCAAATTAAAAAAAAAAAATTAAAAATTCTGAAATATTGTAGAATATTTAGAATATATTTAGATAAGTATGGTTAATACCCTGTATATCCGCTTTTATTCGCAATGACTTTGCTGATTCTTTGGGGCATAGAGAATATTAACTTTCTACACCTTTCCACAGGATCGGTGCTCCATTCCTCCTGAGTATTTTCCAATAATTGGGTGTAATTGAAGCAGGTAGTCTTGGAAATTTGCCTTTTCAGGTGTCCCCAAAGGTTCTCAATTGGATTGAGATCTGGAGACTGACTTGGCCACTCATAAACTTCAATTATATTTTCATGAAACCAATCCTTAACTACTGGGGAGTCCTATTTAGGATGGTTATCCTGTTGGAATTTCTATTTTAGAGGTATGTTGTCGTGGGCATGTGGCAGCATAGCACTACTCAAAAGTTCCTTTTACAGGAATCTGTCCATTATGAAAATGGTCGATGGTCCAATTCAAAACCATGCTATGAAAAGCAGTCCCAAACCATTATGCCGCCTCCTCCGTGCTTAACCGTCTTTTTTTTTATATCTAGGATCCAATTCTTTGCCTATAGGTCTTCGAATATTTATATTTGAGTCATTCTCAAATAAATTGTATTTTGGTTTCATCACTCCAGAGAATTTTTCTCCATTTACGCTCCCCCTCTAAACCACACCTGGCCTTGTGAGTTTGAGCAAAATTAAGCCTCATCCGAATATTTGATTTACGCAATAGAGGAACCCTGCGAGCAACTCTCCCAGGTAGATTCGAGCTTAATAGCCGTCGACGAATAGTTCGTGCCGATACAACATTGCCCATTTCGATGGCAATCGCTCTCGAAGACTTAAAAGGGTCCCTTTTAGCCAAGGTGACTATCCGGGAATCCTCTCTTACGGAAGTTTTCCTCCGGGCACCCGGCTTCCTTTTATCTTTTTTTGGTGCTAGAGCATTTGTAACGAAGTTCTCTAATCGTCCCATTAGTAAGGCAATGCATGTATAAGTTTTACCCTCTTCACGAAGCTTGAGAACGAGATTTCTCTCTTCAGCACTGCAGTGAACTCCACGACCCATCTAATTTTATTTAAATGTTGCAAATGAAAATGTTGATGCTTCAATCAAATTATATTCAATAAAAATACTACCTTTGCTTACTCAAAAACACTTTAATATTTTAATAATTTTTTGTTTAGTTAAACACACCTATTAATGTGTCCAGGTCGATTTTGAGGTAGAGAATGTATAACAGCCAAAACTTTTTAGCGAGTAAATTTTTTTGGGGGATTTACCTATTTCCTTTTTAAATAGTGTGGACATACCTACCAAAAAAAATTTCGTGCTGATAGATGTTGTCAAACCGTAATTATTCTAAAATATGCTAGAATCTTTGGGTCACACCTATTAATTTGACCATGAGTGTATGTATATATATATATATATATATAATTGTATTCATTTGTATGCCTTGCACACTAACAGAATTAATTAATTTATATTTATTTAAATTTTATAATATTGTCCGTGTTTTCATTTGTAAGTCCCTCATATCCGTTTTCCTTTACTACGATGACGTTTAAATATTAAAGCCATATTATCTTTTAAAGTATGGTAATGAAAATTTATTGAAAATTTATTCAAAAATATCTGACGAGGCGCCTTATATATTCGGTCAAACTAAAATTATGAATTATGAATATTTTTGTTTGAAAAGCTCTGCACTTTGGAAGACAATCCCATAAGTTGTAAGCCAGAATACTCACGCCATAATATGATCATTGACAATACATTTAATTTTTAGTTTTAATACGACAATATTTTACAATATTCAGTAAGCGAATTAATCCGCACTGAAAATAGACCGGAACAAGCTTCAGTGACAAAACGAAAGCCCAAACATGATACTACTCAACAATGGACCCAAGAGTATGAGAATTTCCGCAGCTACTGTAAACTATGAATTCTACACATTAATCCGAAGTACCCCTAAGTTCTTCAAAGATATTCAAAAATATTTCAATCAACTACGATAGAATTATTTGTTACGTCAGCATCTTCATCTTGTTGACGACATGGGGAATATTGTTTCCATCTGATTTATACACGATCCCTTTAAACAATAACTTTTAAGTCAATCAACAATTTTATAAAATTGCAAATCAATATAAAACAACAAATATTACTTTCTACGTAGAACGGATTCGGCTCACAAAGTGAGAATATAGAAAGTCATTTATGGGCATATATGTATAAGTACAAAACGTATAACACAAGAGATGCGATCTGTTTGACAGGGAAACTTCATATGAAACATTTCCCATATGCAAACTATGGATATCTATACAAACTATACAACTATACATTATCTACGTCATATTTTCAAGCATATGGAAATGCCTAAAACACACTATGCTTCTTAAAAAATCTGCACTAAAGGGTATAAAAAAAAAATTTTGTTATAGGGGTATATAAAACCAGCGTGAAAGCTAACGAATGGTTGTGTGAAAACATAAAAACTTCCCTATTATATTCTCTATGGTATATAAGCACTTAAAGAGTCATAACATCATATCACAATTTCAGTACAAATACTTAGTTAAACCGAAGAATTTGTAAAAACATAATTTGTTTATTGTTGAATATGTCTGCCTAAAATTTTGTGGTGTGTAAGCTACGAAAATTGACCAAACCTTCAAATATCTGGTGAGCTTTTTACTACACATACCAATGTTCCTCATACATATATGATACTATAAAAATAATTTCCTTAATACACTACATTTTAAATATTTTATTTTTTCTTCAGTTTTGTTTAGCGGTTTGTTCATTCGTCATTTTACCTGCAACATTAGCAATGAATGTTATATACGCAAAACTAATGTCACACTATATATATAAATATAAACATGATCAACAAAATTATTTCCTTAATGCATATTTAATATTTATTTTTTCCGTCAGTTTTGTTTATCGATTGGTACATTCAGTCATTTCCGCTGAAGCATTAGCAATGAATGTTATATATGAAAAACTATATAAAATCACGCTATATATAAATATAAACATGCTTTTCAGCTTTGTTTTCTTTGTGTTATAGATCAATAAAATTAACATTTTGTATGTCCCAGCACTTCGTATGCAATTACCATTGACATTGCTTACTGTTGAGTATGAATTATTTATCTGGGTGACGAAAATCGTTTTTTACCTGAAGCTTATGACTGTTATATGGCTTATTCGGAAGACTACGCCAATTTCTAATATTTCACTAACTTTCAACTATTTATTTTAAGTTAATGTTTTGTGCTCTACTCAAAAAAATTTTAATTGTAACACACTTAAAAAAAAAATTATTAATCCCCGTTTCCAATAGTATTGGCATATGTATTTTAATTTGAGTAGTCTTTCATACAAAAACTAATATATATTGCTAACGAAGAAATTGATATACATGATATACACGTGCTATATGTGTTCTCGTCTCTTAAGCTCCACATATCTACTGTCTTCTATTACCCACTTAAAGCTAATCGCACTGACTTTTCAACAAATTCTCGTATGTTCACTTCAATGTATTCATAACTGAAATACTGAATATGTATCTTTCCACAGCATTGAAAGCCCCACTTCGATATAATCATATCATACTTAACTGGATTACTGAATAATTATCTGCAAAATTATATATAAATTTTATTTTAATTACATTTGCAAAAAACATTTCTATGTATTTATATTTATTTTTTGGAATCGCCTTTAATCATATACATGATGGATTTCTGATATTCACATAAAAGAGACATACAATTTTAGTCTACAATTTTATGGCTAAAAAAAAAAGTATAACATATATTTTGTAGAAATGAAAGAAAGTATAAAAGGCAAGACAACTGATAGACCATCAGATTTTCAATTATGGATTCTAACTTCATATCATTTATTTATAATCATGGTATCTACAAAACAAATACTATACACGCATGATGAAAACGACTGCTTCGGAACAATTATAATCAAATGCAACGTAATATTCGGTATATACATATGTAATATTTAAATTACATGGCCAAGGCCAGAAGCCAACAAACAAACACATCTTAAAAATAGAAAAAAATAAATAACTAAACTAACTTTTTCTTAAAAGATGAGAACGCAAGAATTTTCGCTCAGCAAAATGAGTTTTAGGTTCTTCAAAAGGTCAAACCTTCTGATATTAATCGAAACTATTAATTGAATATTGGATTTTAATAAAATATATACATAAAAATTTAAACAATTTAATAATTTTCAGAATACATTTCAATGCTCATGTCAAAAATTTGAACACATATTGGCCCTTACTAATAACAAAAACAAATGTACTCTCGTATAAAACCCCTTTTGAATTTTTTAACAGTCAAATATATTGTCGTAACTGTTAGTTTGCTAAACGTTTTGGTTTTTTTTTAATTGACATACACCTGTTAATTCTACTTTTGAAACGAAACGTTAAGAATTTCCTGAATATATATCATGAATGTATAATTTCATACTAAAAAGGTAAAAAAAAAAAAAAAAAATTCAACACTTCTCGACAATCATTTTAATTTATTTTTCTCAATTTTATAGACTAAATATATTATGCATATGTATATTTTTTCTTCATTTAATACTTTAACCAGCCATTCTAATATACTGTTTTTCTATACTCCTTACCGTACATATATGTATGGCAGTATATATGTATGCTGTTGATGTAAAGATACTTGCACCTTCCTGTCTCCCTCCTCCCAAGTTGTACAGCTTGTGAGATGCATCAGATTTTCGGGTGAGGTTTTATGATGCAGTACTCCATGTCCCACTCCGAATACTAAAATAAAAAGAATCCTTCTCCCATTTGGTATTAAAGCCACCCACCAAAAAAACCTCACCCACCAAACATATGAACAAAGAGATACAAAATATTCAATACAACAACAATAAAAAACTCAGTCTGGAACTGGACCTGGAACTGGAACTGGGACTTCGGTTCTACAATGCTGCCAGAAGAAAATAGTCTAAATATGCTACCGAAGAATTCAATGGCGATATTGAGGAAAACTGACCTGTACTACCCACCAAGTCATGGACTCGTCAGCCGCTTGATCTTGACCTGTTGGAATAAATATTTGTTGTACACATCAATGTCAAAGTCAATTCAATTGATACATCAGTTTGATTATGAACACAATGTAATGAATTGTAAATTGAAATATGAAAAGAAATTGTTTAAATAAATTAAATTGTATTTAATAATTTATAAATAATATGAATTTGCGTTCAATGATTGCAAACACTATTTGAATTTTATTATTTTAGATTCTATTGAAAACAAAACACGTTTGGTAATATATTTGTAATTAGTTTGTATTTATTTATTTATATTTGCTTAAAAAATTTGAAACAATTTATAATACAAAGGAATCGAAAACATTATTGACAAAAATTGCAGAAATATTTTCACACACATTCAACTAAATTAATTCATTTCCGTATTGTTTATATTTTGCATTTAAAATAGACAATTAAAATGATTTATAAAATCGCTTTTCGAATATATATATATTCGCATATATAAAAATCCCTTATGTCTAAATGCTTTAGCTTTCACATTCAAATCGGGGGCGGAGAATCCACATGCGCCTGCAAAATGGTGTGGTCGTGGCCTCATACACACAAATAAATCTTAGGGTCAAAATTCAAGCATTTGCATTTAACTATTTACAAAAATATGAATTTCATTATTAATTTTTATTATATTTTCTTTCATTTTTTTTTTGCTTTGTTTTTTTTTTTTTTTTTTTTTTTTTTTTTTTTTTTGTTGTTACGAAATATCGAATACATTTGTGGGAGACTTTTCTGATTTTAGAATGAGGAGAATAGCCAATGGGCCTAGCTGGAGTTAATTGGACAAAAGTGTAAACGATTTTATAAACAGACATTTTTCGAATTACAAAGCAGAGAGCTCTAATTGAGAGGATCCGAGTGGGAGATGCCTATAACACGCGTACGTTACTTTTGAGTGGCTCTCCACAATTTTAGAAAAATTTCTTTTTGACTAACGTCAACAGATATGATGATGCTATGTCCGATCTGGGCGAAGATTTGTATGCATATGGAGAGTATCGGTACTTACTTAGATGATGTTAGATAAAATAGTTTTCAAGTTATGGGAAAAAACAAAATCTCTATATAGGAATAGTCAGACGGACATTGATAGAGCTATCGGACACATCGTAGTGCTCAAATATTCTTTTGGATATTGGTCAGGATGTTAAAAGATGGATATTTAAGTTTAAAATGCATTCGTATTCTTTTTTGTTTTCTTTTGTATTTTTAATTGTTTAGTGTGTTGTTTATGTTTACTTAGTAAAAGCTGACAACAAATTTGAATTTTACTTATTTGATAGGTACACTCAAAAATATGTATGTTATATTAGTGTTTGCTGCTGTTGTCTTTCTTTTGGCGCTCTTTATAACCATTATACGATATTGCTATTTAATGATTTGTCTCATTCTGGGAGGTGTGTCGACGCTCTATAAGTGGTGTTACGAGCGCCTCTCCTAACTATTGCATAAGTGAGTGAGTGGAGGAAACTTCGATGCTATAGAGTGAGTGTGTTCTTAAACTGCTTCTGCTGTCGTTTTGTTGCATAGTATCTCCGCTCTTATATGTGTGTATATATTAAATATATCATAGTCCTTATAATGTAACCCTTATACAGTTAGCCCACTCTGTTACGCACCAAACACTCCCAGCGTTTTGCCTAATGTCTAGATATATAATTTAGTTCATATATCGTTTGCTCAAATACTTTCTTTTTAGCTAACTAGCAATTAGTTACAATTTCGATTTTGTGTGGAATCAATTCGCATAACATTCGCTATATACATGGTTTTTACGTTTCTCGTTTTCTTTATATCGCTTAACGGGAGAGGGGGCCTTACAAAATTTTGACTAGTTGTTTATGCAAGTGCCTGGAAGAGGCCTTCGAATTGTTAGCTATAAAAATCGCTTGGACTTTTCATCTTAGGTCAAAAAGTTTTTTGTTTTTCTTTTCTTTTTCTTTTTTTTTTCTCTTTAACTCTATGTAATCGAGGGAAATGCTAATTTCTGAAATCCTTTGGATGCACTCAATATTTAGGTTTATCTTCAATGTCTGTCCGTCTGCCAGTTCTTTTACAGTTGTGTTTGTTTATTCTAGACCTATATCACCGCTTAATTGCCTTAAACACTCTAATTATTATAAGCATTTCTTGCTGATTCATTGTTGTCTCGTCCTTTGTGTATGTGTTTGTTTTCATTTTGTATTGATTGATTATGAACATATGAGTGCCAGCTACTTAATAAAGTTCAAAGTTCATGAAACTTTACAATTTCTTATGCCTGCAGCTATAATTATGAATCATACAATATATATATATTAGTCTATATGTATGTATTATATGCTTAGTTTTGCAAGGTATTAATTATGTATGTATGAAACCAATGTGATCCTATGCAAAATTGTATTATACATACATATATGGATATATGTATATAACCCTATATATGTATATATATATGGATTTAGCTTAGGTATGTTTATTGTGAAATATTTTGCACTGTACAACAAAATATGTTTTCTTTTAATTTTTTCTTTCATTTCATTTTTTTTTAATTTTTTTTATTTTGTACAATTTGAAAACTAATTTAAACTTTTACATACATATACGTAGTTGCTAGAAAATTGCGTTTACTTTCTTGTTCACTTAGCTTTTAGGTGTATGTGTGTGTATATGTATATATTGTGTACTTTAGTCATAGGAAACGTTTTTATTTTTCGAAATGATATAGAAAAATAAATGCAGAGAACACTATTTAGCATACAGACTTTAAGCTTTTAGCTTCTTTTCGTATATGTAGGTTTTTTTGCATTAAAGTTAATTTGCTTTTTCAAATAAATAGCAATTGTTTTTTTTGCATGTGTTTTTATATTTATTTAGATTTTAGCATTCAGGCGCGTTTTACTAGGCCTAAACAGCGCTTGCTCTAAGGCTTTCTTGCAAACCATTTAATAGTAATTTTGGTATATATGTATGAATATATATATATATATAGATTTGAATATAAAGCACTTACAACTAAACAAAACAAGATAGTTTCAATTCAATTAATAATAATAAAAAACAACTAACTTATATACAGCAAAAGATATTTCAAATTGTTTACGATCGCGTAGGCCTTACATATACAATATGCAATGTACAATTAGTCTTAAATATGTGTCTTGTATACATGTTTCGTCAGAATGGGAATTGTTTGGGTTAGTGAGCAGATCCTTGGCTTAACCCATCTACCAAATTGCTGAAGTTGTGCAATTCCAGTAACGTTGGCCACGTCAACATGACTAACAGCAACAGCCAGATGGTCAAGTGAGCTGAGGAGCTGGCGCTGGACCCCGTTTCACCGCATTTGCCTGAAAGTTAAAGAATCAAAAATGAATTCGATAATATATGAAGGCTTATAATAGAATCAATAAATGGAAGTTATTATAAATAAAATATGTATATAATAACTGATGGTGATGATCAGAATCCTTATCTGTCTTACTACGGCACTCTTATATGAGACAATGTACAGCGGGTGAATATAAAGCTATTATATGAATATCACAAACCAAAGAAGGATAGGTTGGCCACTAAATGATGATCGGGAGGCTTTTGAGTGCCTCGGTAACAGGCATCTCCCACGACCAGCTTAGCTGCATTGCCATCCGAGGGCCTGTAGCTGATGCAGACGCCATGTTTTGTGCCCTTGTGCCTGGCGATGATGTAGACGGTGCTGTTCTCGCTCCAAGAACCATGACAAGAGTACTCTGCGTAAATGGGAAACAGATTATATTGGTTGCATCCATTGCAGTTAAAGAGACTCGCTCGTGTGCTTACCCTCCTCGCCATCCAGGCTGCACAGTGGACTCACATCGATGACATTGGGTGCCGTGCAGCCCACCCAAAGCTGTCGCTGTGCATTGTAGTTGGTCACACAGCCGGGCACATCACGTCGACTGCGCGTTGCTATGAAACCTACACTAGTATCATTGGAGCTGTTCAGCACTAAAACCTGCTGCAACCGATTTGATGACTCCTGCTGATGGTCTGGCCTCGGCTCTGCAGCATTGCGGCGACTGCGCGCGGGCAGGCCCCGTGTGTTAGCATGCCAGGAGCCACGCTCCATGCGCTCGGCATTGCGGAAGCTGAGTGTGCTGTGCCTGTCACAAAACACAAATAAACAAAGCACAAATTGAGCTGTAGTAGAGATGTTTCTCGTTCTCGTTTGTTGTTCGGTAAACATACCCCTTGTGGCCAAAAGAGCCAGTCTCCAGACCATCGTTCTGATGATGATGATGACCATGTCCAAGATGCGATTTGCCATTGTGATTACGCTTGTGGCGTGTGACCAGGTACGGTGGTCCGATTGCCCCACGCAGATTGTACAGGCCCTCCATGGGGCAAATATGCGGCTCTGGATTGCTAGCTGTGAACGGGGTTTTAAAAAAGGAACATCATCGCAATGAGTTTAAGTGTACAGCTCAAGAATGTCCTTTAAACTAGGAGTAAGCTCTTGCAATTGTCCCTATTATTTTCAAATTTTCTTTACCATAGTACTTTAGTGTAGATATACTCTTTGACTTGCTCATGAACCATGGCTATTTTTGTAGAACTAAATTGTCATTGACTCCGAAAAATATTACGAATTTGGCCAGATTACGATATAATCGTTAATATATTTCAAAGTAACTTCTGTTAGATGCTTCCATCGGACAAATACCCTCGAATCTACCGCATTCAGTACTCAGTGGTTACAGGGTATAAACAGTACACAAACAGAGCGCACACAAGCTTACCCAGCAGCGTTATGTAGGCCATCTTATTGAAGTCAAAGTGATCCGGAGCACAGGCATCCTCTAGTCGAATGGCCGGCTTGCCTGTTTGTATCTCAATGACGTGCGTATCCCGACGGTAGAACATCATGCACATAAAGCCCGATTGGCTGTAATGTTGAAGGGAAGGGGGTAGGGGTGGTAAGACAACAGAGTTACGGATTTTTTTTTTATTTGGCTTACCAGCCAGTGGTATAGTGCACCACAGCCATCATTTCGGTCGAGGTCTGTTTGTTTATCTGCTCGCAGAGGGCACGTGTCTCCATGTAGCCGTTGGGCTTAATAATGTGCACAGAGCCATCGCTGTAAAGAAAATTGGAAACGTTTTATTGGCTGTGATGTGTTGCCCACGGCGTTGTTGTTGCCACTCACTTGGAATGATAATTGTAGACAGCATTCCCCATAAGTGCATGCCAGTGTCGCGGACCCTTGAACCAGGCGGGAAAATCGCAGCGCTCCGCCGCCGGCGGTTTTCGCAGCGACATTATTCGCGAGCCAACCTGGCAGGGCGAGTGAAAAGAAGGATTTGAATGTTGACACTTTGAATGGGGTTTGACTCACTTACCTCGGCGCTGTCTAAGCCATTGCAAGTGGCGTCGCCGGATTGTGCCAGCTTATACTCGGCATCCTTCGAGCTGAGCATGCTTGGGCCACCTGCAAGGGTTATAAAACAAAAAGGATGCTCTAGAACAATTTTCCAGCTGTTTGTTTGACGATTTTCTTACCCATCAGCGAGGAGATTTTCTCGTAAACAAAGCAACGATAACGCTCCTCATTCGAAATGGCATGATGATGTGAGACAAGACCCACCAGATACCGTGAGTTCCCGTCCTTCCATGTGGCCAGACACGTTAGTTCCTCAACTGCAAAGAGTTTGTAATTTAAGTTTTCTTAAACAATGGCGATACTTTAATTTTGTACAAATTTGGTGAAGTATAAGTAACTTGGAACTTCTGTAGAGTATAATTTAAGTCCCATTCTACTACATACGCTTCTGCTTTCCTACATTACAGTTGAATATTCCTCATTTAGCAGAACAATTCGCTCATTAAAGAGTTCTTACTAAATTCTGTGGAATCAGCTACAATGTTCACTTACCCGTACTCTCTGTGCCTTGGACATCGGGACAGGCCTGAAAACTTAATAGCAGGCGACTCTCCTCGGTGCAGCTCTCAATGTTCGACACGGGGGATTTGCACTCCCCATGGCCGCGATTATAAGTGAATATAAAGGGACCTGTGGAAGGGAAGCAAGACAATGATAATGATGATGATGACGATGATAATGATGATGTTGTTGATGTTGACGATAAAGCATTGCATTGAGATAAATGAATGTTGGAACTCACCCTTTAGTGGGCACTTGACCGGTTCAGCGCTCTCACGGAACAGCGAATAGAGCAGAGCATCGCCCGGGATTTGATCGCAGAGATTCTGTAAAGTCTCACGGCCCTTGCAATGGTCTGGGGGACATGATTATTTGAAAAGCACACATAGGAATACAATTAATGCAAATCGCTAAACAAGTTGAAAAACAAACAAACACACAGACGAAGACAAAGGAAGGCGAAAGAAATAAGTAGAAATTGGGAATGGGAATATGTAAGTAGTTTGGATGGACTTAGTAGAATAGCAAAAGTATAGTCAGATATATATATATATTGTTAGTTAGAGATAGAGAGAAGCAACACATTTAGGTGAATCGATTTTTAGTTTTCGTAGGGTATCAAATGATAAAAACAATGCTACAAAGTTCTAAAAAGATTGGTGCAGCGCACTGAAAGCTGGCGACGCCTTGCCCATGATCCAAGTCAACGTCAAGAATGCCACTTATATTGCACGGATCGTTTGGTTGACGACACTTGAAACTTGGAAAAAGACCTTGGAAGAGAGCTCGGCAGCTTCGAGTGCACCACAACGTGAAACAGCAACAATTTCTGTTGAAATGTGTGTTAACAAATAAAAAATGAGAAAAAAATAACAAATACAAAATAAAGACACAAGTATATCTTCTGTATCAGCTGAAACAATGCTTAATGTTTATAGCATTGCTGAACTGAATTTATTAAAATCACTTGAACGTATTATTAAGTTGTAATATTTGTTTTTATCGAAAAGGAAAGAAAAAGAACACATAGTCCTTTCCGACTCTCAACACAAAATTGAAAGTTCATTAACATGGCAAAAAAAAGTTTATTTTCTTGCTAGATCAAGCAAAAAAATAAAAATAAAAAATAAAATATTTAAATATATATAAATTTTGGAAAGATATTAAATTACTCATATGCTAAGGAAATAAATAAATGTTAAGTACTTTGATTTGCTGCTTCGCAAATATATATATAATCGTAGTCAAGTTAATTTTTTTGGTATAGGGTCCTCTCTTTTTAGCAATATTGGAGTGTTTTCAACGTACATGTACGTTATTCTTATAATAACAATAATAATAATAATAAGAATAATAACAATGATAATAATAATAATATATTTAGATATGGTTAGGCAACCAACAAACAGGCAGAGTTATAAATTCATCTAAAAGGCAAAAGCCTTTGGTTAAAGCTCTAAAATCAAATCCTTTAAACAAGCACACGCAGAGCAGTGTTGGTAAACGAAATTTAACAAAAACTATGTACAAATGCAGGACACATGTGTGTGTAGGTGTCTGTGTCTGTGTATGTGTGGGCCAGCTCTTATGACCTCTTTGAGTAATGATTGTAATTAAGTAGCAACTAGAGTTGATGAAAAGCATAACGGTATAACAAGCTAACGGTATACGTTTGGGTGTGGTGTATCTGTGTCTGTGTATATGTGGGTGTGTGTGTATGTAAGGGAGCAACAACTACGACAGCGAAGCTTTATATATATATGTATATATATCATGACCAGGCAACAAAGTACAACAGCACAGACATTAAAAATAATCTACTTTTGCTTTTTGTTTTTTAGGTTTTAATATCTTTTGTTCGGACACTCACACACACATACAAAGATAAAGAGATACACATATGTAAAGTGTAATATTTATATAGCTGAACTATGATACGGACTTTTTAGTAAGTAGCCCATTGTAACGCAAACGCACGCATACACAGAGACAAACACACAACATTTAGTATGAAACGGAATGAAAAGGACACACATCTATGAAATGGGAATGGAACATTATGAAATGGAACCGAGAGCAGAAATTGTTGAGTTTCATGTTTAAATTACATTAATTAAATGACAAACACACATAAATAACCGAAGGAATAAGTAAATGTATTGGTAATACAGTAACAACTAACTAAAAGGTACAAACACGTACACACACATATTATTTAATTAAAAACGGAAACAACAACACGGTTGGGTAGGGTGAGGTGGGGCGGGTTCGGGTTAGGGATAAAGTGTGAAAACTCAAAGAGCGAATAGAAGTAGAAGTAGTAGAAGTAATAGTAGTAGATGTACAAATAGTAGTAGGGTAAGTAGTAAAATAGCAATAGGTATTGTTTAGGTTAGGTTAGGTTAGAATGTAGTAAGAAGAAAGTACAACAAGTAATTGGATAAATGAGAGACAATTATACTAGCGGTCACCGGGCAGCCCATCCCAACATTTCTTTATCATCATGTACAATATGTATACAAAATATATATATAAATATATAAATTGCCATATAATTTTTATTTTAAATTTTTCTTTGGCAAAAAATTGTATTTTTTTTTTTTTGAATTTAGCTGAAATCCTTGAATTTTTATGAAAAAACAAAGTATAATCAAAATTATAATGGAGGAGAATTTTTATTTATTTTATTTTATTTCAAAAAATATGTGTTTATTTATTTTTTTTTATTAACTTAAAAGCGAAATAAAAAGTTGGAGTTTTTTATATTGTGTGGGAAATTGGGAGGCGGGTAAACGTATAAAAGATGCGAAAGAAGAAGAAACCCGAGTTTTGATAGTTGTTTATGGCATAAGCTATATGATTTCCGATTTGAGAATATTATAGAAAATAAACGTCGAGGAATTAGTGTATATATACAAATGTTAAGCTGTTAAACTGCCTGGGGGAGTCAGCTTCATTAAATCGGATAAAGAATAGAAAATGTACTATATTTATATATCATGCATATCGGAAATCATATTTCAGTTTCGATCTCGGCCGAAACTCGGGAGAAATGAGAAATTTTACTCGCTCGGTTGAAGAAGAAGAACTGTACAAAAATTGAGGCGATGATGATTTTTTTTTTTTTTTTTTTGGTTAGCAGTGGATTAATATAAAAACATTAATAATTATAATCATGTACAAAGAGTTATTTTTAGTATTATTATTATCGAAAAGAAAATGAACGGAATGAAAATAATGAGTTAATCGAAGCACTTCAATTGGTGACAACAAACAACAATCAAATCATTTTAAATCATTATTTCAACAAAAATAATAAACAATACACAATTAATATTTATATAACTGTACAAGAGATATTGGAGGAAGGAGTTTTATTTACAGCGTGTGTTGTTGTTGTTTTTGTATTTGTTAAGTGATTGTAAATATCCTTAGTATTCAATATAATACACAACTGGCGAAATTCTTCTGTACAATCCTTGACTCTTGTCAAGGAAAAACATACTAAAATAATAATAAATAACAGAAAACAAAATACGAAAATGGAACGTAAAACAAATTAAGATGAATGAGGTTTATGACACGAATTGTCTATATATACATATATATAGCCTAACGGAACCGAGTGATAACAAATTAATTGAGGAGAAAAAAACAAGAAAACCAAATTGAATGAATGGGCACATAAAATATTGCATAAATAAATGAAATGAATTGAAATGAAATGGCTATGCGAAAACAAATATATAAACCTTAATATATATGTATATATATATATATGCATGTATGTATGTATATATATATATATTCACATATACAACTGCGCCAACAAACACAACAGTAGAAGAGAGGGCGTGGCAGAAGTAAGAGACACGCGAAATTGTTTCGACACCCCAGTCGCAAAACACGCGACTCGCTGGGACTCGACTTCACCACTGTCCCGCTTCCTGTGGCTGCTTCGCCCTGCCCTAGCCTAGGTAAATACGATATGCCCATTTTTTTATGCTCCACATATATATATGTATATAATATGAATGGTATGCGAAAATTGTACCAACACACGCAGCCCTAGGGGACGGGAGCTGTGTTTCATATTAAAATGCCCAAAAACTATATAAAACAGCGAAAGGAGTCTACTATAGTCGAGCATACCAGACTAACGTATGCCCTGCGGCTGTCCTTCACTCTTAAGGTCTGCGTACGCCGATACATATTTATAGAAGCGGATAGTACGTCAGATATGGGTGGATAGATTTGACTTCATTGGCGTTTCTTTCCGAACTCTTTTTAAGACATCCTATAGAATATTTCGTTCTGCCTTCAAAAAACAATATGCCCAAGTTTGTAGCAGCTTGAATGGAAATAGCATACATATAATAAAATAAAATTGGCTGTTGTCCTGACCTGTGTTGCTTGTGCTACTGTGGCTAACAAATTACCCAGTCAACGTACCAAAAGCAGGTTGCACGCCCATACTCCTGCACGCCCCCGCATACACGCTCTGATGTGCGTAATGCTGCTGCTGCTGCTCTTGTTGTTGTTTTTGATGCCCTGTTGTAAAAGGCAGGCTAAACATTTTTACAGACATTTGATTAAATTTAAATATTCTCACACGAAAATTGCCTAAAGCTGCTTACGTTACGTGTTTAAATGCCGAACTACGTAAAAAATACATGAGCAGAACCAGAGAATAAACGGATAGCTGTGCAAGTGCAAACTGAATATCACTCATATCGCTTGGAGTTTAAGCTACCTATGGACTAATCAATAAATATTGAATAAAAGGATATAGAATTTCCATGAGTTTCTATTAAGATGAACATAGACATCTTAGTATATTTATTAAATACTTTCTGATGCTTCAAAGAGGTCATCCAGCGAATATAAGAGAGAAGAAGTACAATCTATATAACCCCGAAATTGCAGTTTATAAGGAAATGAGAACATTTCTTCGTATAACCTATCAATAGATATAGTTACGATATCGTACTTATTTAAGTAACAAAAGATTACTATTTGGAATTCCGATTATAGCATATTAAAGATCGGACGCTCTGCGCAGTCCATAGAAAGTCTGTTGAAGGAATGAAAAGCAGAAATCTAAAATTGGGATTGAAAAGAAAAGCGAACGAAATGCGAACGATGAGCGCAATAATAAGAAATGCGGAGGTAGTCACTGCAGCAAGGTGAAAGGCGGGCGGAGCATGGGGCAGGGGTTGGATTTTTCGAGGAGCTGCCGGCGATGGCGCAGTTTTGCGCTTAATTATTTTAATTATTTTTTATGCTGCCTACATTTGTGCACTCGTCTCGTCTCCTCTCAGTGTGCTGCATAGCAATTAAAATGTGGTCACCGCCCCCCATCCACCCCCTTTCCATCCCTGTAAGCCCTCCCAGCATGTCCTTCATTGAATGCCCGCAGTGCCAGGCACTTGCGAAACCTGAGTGGTATCCTGCAATTGGTATGCAAATAGTACAAAATATCCACAGCTGCTACGCAAGATGCTGTTAAACGGATCCTCACGAAAATATGAAAGAAAAAACATTCAAATAATTATTCCAGAAGCCAAGCAAAGGGAGCGCAGTGAGGGAGATAGTTGGGGCGTGGTTAGCTTTAGCTTTTTAGCTTGGCACTACCTCTAAGCTGTACCTATAGTGTGGTTAATAATTGACTACAGCTAATGATAGTTACACACTGCGCTTAGTAAATTAAGTAATTTGAAAGGGGGCTAGTCTAGTATCGCCATAGAATGTTGAAGGAACTATATATTATATCTATACTTGAGTGTGAAGAGCTGAAGAAAATCCCCACATTCAACAGTTCTAAGTCCCCTTTTTAAGGCATTTGCCTAATGCTTTGACCTTTGAAACTTTACTTCATTAGCAATAACTGTATAGCTAAAGAAGACTATAACTTCCACATATAGTCAGGCGCGTAAGTTCTAAAATTATGCGGTTTGCCCATTTGGGAATTGGTTATTGGAAAACATTGATTAATATTTTAATATATTAAGCTGTAGCTTGTTGTACCTTTTGTACCTTTTGGTTGTGTGTGTGAAAAATCTGATTAAATAATAGATGGGCATTTATTAGTAAGTCTATGCTAGTTGCCAGTATAACATACGCTTGCTCTTTGTCTTGGCCAAGTGTGAAAATTGAGCATAAACCAAATTCAATTAATACGCATGGCCAATGGCACAAAATTTTGGATTTCATGGGAATTTAGTGTATGTATTTGCATTGAGTTTTGCGAATAATTTTGCTCATTTCAACAGAATGCCTCAAAGTCAGGAATTTGTACATGTGTATGTTAGTTTATTGTAGGTGTGTGCGTGTTTGTGCGTATGACAGTCAAAACAAATAATGACATAAGTCTAATAATGCCATTGTGCCATAGAAGCGATTGTTTTATGGGCGGCTAATCAAAATAAACAACCGCCCATTGACACAGACCTCTAGCTCCCGTTGCCACTGCCGCCCACGAACACGAGCACACCCACTCCGTCGCCTACGCCCATACCAATAGCAACAGGACTCCACTTCAGTTAGTACGCCTGTTCCTTGAATTATAAATGAGACCTAAAACTCTCGTTTAATATTTAAACAAAATCAAATCAAAAAAAAAAAAAAAAAAAAAAAAAAAAAAAAAAACTTGAGAGGGAGACCGAAATAGGGCGAGAGAGATAAAAACAGACAGAGTGGCACACGCTCAAAGACAGCCTGACAGACATGTCACTCAGTGAGTCAGCCAGTCAGTGAGTCCGAGATAGATTAAACTGGAGCACAGTGGGTTGAGCGTCGGCTACATGAGTTGGTGCTTTCAAATCGATTCAAGTTGACTGGTTGAGCTTGCACAGCTAAGAAACCCTAGTCGGAGCCGTAGTCACATATCGGAGCCATAGCCATAGCCGGAGCTGTGGCCGTAGTCGAGGTCCCGAGCCGTGGCTGGTATTTGCAGCACTTAAACTAATTTGATTTCTATTGAGGCAAACAAATAATAAATAATGAATTTACATTTCTATGCGTACGCTCGTAAACCATGTCGTAAGCCAACCGAGAGAGATAGACTGCGAAGGACATAAAGGGAGCGAGAGCGTGTGGAGGAGAGACTACTCTAGATACTTGTATGCAATTAGGGACTTAGCCTTACAATTAGTTGACTATAATTGCAAGCAGACCCAGAGACAGGCGAAAACTTCAGCACTAAACATGCTAGTAAGCGGATTATAGCAATTAACCATTGAACTACTTCCACGTCGTATATATATATATATATATATATATATATATATATATACATATAAGCCTTAAAAAATGGGAAAACTTAAAAGCCCGCACAAGGCAGGGGCCAGAGCTGCATGCCTGTGTACACTTTCTGTAGCACTCCAGACTGCACTCAAAAGGATTGGATAGCTAAAACCATTCACACAGACAAATTTAAACGGAGCACCGATGGAGACAAAAGCTCAAGAGCTGAACCTGGACATACCCTAGAAAGTAAAATCAACCAAGACTGTTGTGAAACCAATTTTGTAGCTCGACTTTATATTTATTTATACAAGACGTCAAAGTACAAGCAGAACCCGCAGCAGAAACTACCCAATACAACAAATCATTCAACTACAGAGGTTCACAATGTACACGTCAAATGTTTAATGCACGTAGAAGAAGTTTTTCATTTGAGTTTTTTTCCATTTTCTGAATTTAAAACTATAATTTTTTGTACCCGTTTTTAAAACGGATGGCTCCATGTTGGGGCTATTCGCTATTCGAAACATTGCGTGAAGACATATAAATAAGTAATGTTCGCGTCAGAATGAAAAAAAAAAAAAAAAACGAAATGAAATGAAATGCATAAGTCGTTTCAAAATAATAGGTGAACTTTAATATTAAAACACGAAACAAAAAAATCTCGTTCCACTAAATGGTTTTTCATATGGAATTCTTAATATGCAGTGAGCAATATATAAAATACATATTTATACATGTTTTTTCATAAATATTGCGAGCATTTTTTTAAAGTTTTTTGTGAGATGAGCAAATGGAATTTTACAGTGAGAGCGCTGTGAGTTTTTCTTGGTGAATAGTTCCATTCGAATACCACAATTATGGATTGATGGCTTTATAAATAGTATAAAGGTGCTCTTGACCAGAATAAAGTTTTAGTTAACTGCGTGTGCTGCCTTTAATTGCGTTTTCATACTCGTTCACGATGTCTGTCTTTACCTATTTGTTATAATATATATTTTGAATTTCCCATTTGAATCACATGAAATAGAAAGTTTCGATAGTTTTTATAATATAATCGATTCACATATCCAGTTAATTGGTATACTTTTACTGTCCTCCTATTCTCTAGAGTTCTATAAATAAATAAATCAAGTAATATGCTTCGCCCCTTAGAGCTTTTTTGGACTGTGAACGAGTATTAACAGTCGATTGGGCCCGACTGACTTGGTGAATGAATATTTTTATTTACACCTGAATCGAAGAGGCCGAAAAATGACAATTTAGCTCTTTATATAGAGAGCTCTATGAATACAAAATATATATCATATATATAAATCGTAATATGTAGAGTAAGTAGTCATTGGAAGTGCGTATGTACAATCAACTAGACAAGTTGCGCAATTTAACAACAATTTCTGCATACGGCGGCCTTAAAAAATATATAAATTAAATAAATTAAAAAACAAAAATTTTAATTTAATTTAATTCTCAAATGCAAAAGTTTGCAAAAATCCAATTAATGAAAACTTGTATTTTTGTTAGAATTTTCTTTGTTAGAATTTTCATATAAATGCGATATAGAACTGTACAAAGCACTCACACTCACACACACGCAAACGTACGAAAACAGAAAAGTAAAATCAAAATATATATATAATATATATTTTGTACACATTTGAGGAATCGATTTGTATGGATGTTTGTTGTTGCTGTTGTTGTTGTTGGGAGTTGATTTTAATTTTGTTTTTTGAATATTTGAAGTAAAGGAAAAATATACATATCATATAAATATTGAATAGAGTTTTGCAAATATATATATAGATATATATGTATATGTAAATGGCTTTTGTTTTGTTAAAAAATATATATTCGGAACAAACAATTCAATTGTTTAAGAAAAAATTTTATATATATATATATTTACACAATTTGTTGTCTTTTTTTTTTTTTTTTTAATTATTTACAGTAATGAAAACTTAAGAAAACTAAAGTCAAGCAAAAATAAAAAAGGAAAAATTAAAACTTTTTTTCTTAAATTGTTTTGCGGAAATTTCTTTTATTTTTATTTTGAGTTTAAAGCTGACGCGATTATTTTACTTTATACAAATCTTTTTAAAGCTTTAATCGAGTTGTTTTTTTGTTCTTTTGGGTTCTGTTGGGAGGGGTTAATCTGCTAATCCGCTAATACGCTTCAAGAATCGCAACTAAGTAAGTTAATTGGATTGATTTTAACGATATATCTAGTAATTTGATACTGATAGCTGTAACTGTATCTTGAGAAAACTTGCTTTATCTATACATATATATATTTGTATATATAAATATATATATATATTTTTTATAAATGGTTTCTAGTTTAGAGAGACAGTTAGAGAGAGTGAGAGAGAGAGGACCCTTTGCCATGACGGGATAGAATTTTAGTTTTATTTTATATATATATATATCATTTCGTATGCAGAGTATTTTTGTGGAGACTATTTACAAGTTTTGTTTGTATTTTTTATTTATTATTATTTTTTTTTTTTTCTTTTTCAAAGTAACTTAAATTGCTTTTTAAAAACAGAAAGTGAAAGAAATAAATAAAAATAAAAATAAAAATATGAAGAAAATTAAGTGAACGTACTTTAAGTATATAATAATAAAAATTTTTAAATACTTAAAATACTAGATAAAAATACTTTAAAAAATTTGAAACAAAAAATTAAAGAATCCTTCAGTTAATGTGTTCTTTTTCCTTTCAAATGCAAAAAGTTTGGCATTTTTCACTGATTTTTTTTTTCTGGGTTAAAAGTAAAAGCGAAATTAAAATTAAAAGAAATGCGTATAAATTAAAATATTAGATGGTTAGTAATATTTGGTTGAAACGTAAAACTATGAGGTGATTGAACAGAAGTGGGTAATAATGAGATATATAACTGGTATAACTGGAGATAGCGAGTTAAGAGATAGAGATTCGTTGTTGTGTCTTGGGTTGATCTTAAGTTTAGAATTAATTGGAAAAAAGTATAAAGTTAATGCTTACAATCATTCATATCGTCATTGGATCTCATTATGTACTGATCCGATGATGATAGTCTTGAATGCCCGTTCGTATTGGGATGAGCTCCCCCCCTATGATCACTTTGTTTTATAGAGCTACGCATCGCCAGTGCAGATGGATTGTTCGACTGATGCATATACATACTATCACCTTCGCACTCACTTTCTTTATACTGCAGCACATTCTTATGCTTCTCATAGATAACCAGGCAACGATGACATCCTTTCCTAAAAGAAGTTTGTATTTTGGTTTTTTTGTTTATGTTTTTGGATTGCAAATGAAAAGTTCATGTATTTTGTATTTGTTTTATTTTTTGTTAGGATTCTAAATGATAATGTTAAATGATATATGTTAATAAAAGTTTATTTTGTGTTTATATTTGCGAAAAAAAATCTTTTGGCTTATATTTCTGATCTGTTGTTGTGTTGGACATTGAATGCAAAAAGACTTTTCTAAATTTTAAGTTTGGAAAAGTATATATAATATGGATGAGAAAGTTTCCCAGAGTTATTAAAGAAATGTTACATCTTATATATTTCATTTTTGATAATCCCAAAAACTGAATTAACATGTAATATATGTAGTATATGCATATATACTATGTGTGTGTTATTTTAAAGCCAACCCAGTTTCGATGTGGGCTAAACTATATTCAATTGGAAGCTAAATATATGTAGATTTGGTAATATTGTTGAAAACTTTGAAATGATATCATAAAAACGAACTAAAAGGACGCACACTTAAATAACTCAAACAGTTAACAAAATATTTGTGATGTTTAAAAACAAATCTGTAAACATTTTAATTGAATTTTTTCAAAATAAAAATAGATGTAGATTATATATATTGTTTTTTTTTTTTTTTTTTTTTTTTTTTTTTATGCAGTTTGTTGGGGAATTTGTTAGTTTCCTGGTTGATAGATGGTACTTAAAATCTATTTGATTTATTTTATATATATTACGATAAGAAGTCGAAAGTTAAGATTATGAAGTACACGACAAAAATACTTACAAAAAACATTAAAAATAATATTCGAAATATCAAATAGATGTTAAAAGAAACATCCAATCGGGATTTCGTTTACTTTTTTTTTATATATATATCAAAAACCAAAAATTTATACACATATCAGCTACAACGAAAAAATAAACTTCGCAAGACTTATGATTATTTCTTAAAGTTTAATGTATTTATACATATAGTTTAATTGGAAACATGACAAAACGCAAAAGTTTCAAAAAATCATTTGTAAAGAGCAGCCCAGCATTAATATCTTTTGGTTGTTCTTAATATATTACAAAAAAAAACATTCAAACTGAAAATAGCTTCTCTTGATTTCTTTTTTAAATTATTATGCAAAAAGCAAAATAGATGCAGATTTCGAGGTACTTTAACCTTTAAACCTATAAAAAATAGATAGCATTTAGATTAACTTTACAGCACTTACAAAAAAACATATATATATATATATATATATATATATATACGGTTAAATTGGCTCGATTCAGCGTCGAGCTACTTGGCATTCACACGAAGACAGAGAAAAAGGCAGAAACGAAGAGAAGGAGAGAGACAACGAGAGTTGTACAAAGTTAACAGCAGATGTCTCAATGGACAGGTTTGCAGTCTGCTCTAATATATCTAACTATGCCTCTGCCTGTGTCTCTTTGTCTCTGTGTGAGAGCAACTGGCGCCCATGTTGCAGCGTTTTATGTTCCTACTTAATCGGTTTACAGCTACACTCAGAGTAAAAGTAAACTCTCTTGGTTTACTTAAAGCGTAAGCAATATGTTCTTTTAAGGAATTTGAATGATTTGTATACCCTGAAACCAGTGGCAGAACCATTCAAAATGTAGATAGATATATATCGCTCAAAATTAAATTGAAGACAAAATCCTCTTTATAAATATCATATTGAAAGAAAGAAAATGATCATCATTATCATATTAAAAAATTTATTTTGCTTTTAAGTTGAAGTTAATTTCTTACTTGTTTTTCCAGACAGCTGTCTGGCTTTTCTCTGAGTGTATTGCTACTGCCTGCTGCTAGCCTACCGACTGTTTGAGTATGTCTAGTGCCTTAGCAAAACGAAACTTTATTCAATTATTGCCACTTGGCGCACACTCAAAAGTCAAATGCTACAAAACGTACCCGAAAAAATAAAAGCAAAATAAAAAGGAAAAAAAAATAGGTAACATAACCTACAAACAGGAAATAAAAACGTCGAGGGGAGCTACGACAAGCTACAGGCAGTAGAAGTTTAAGTACAAGTGCTTTTTGACGCCTGTTCTTCTTTATCGGCTACTTCATCAGCTGCTTTCATCTTCATCTGCTTCATCTATTTCATATACTTGAGCATCTTGAACATCTTTCTTCATTCATTTTTCTTCTTCTCATTTTCATTCAATCTATGTATTTACCAGCCAAGCATATTTTGAGCCAAAATGTTAGCATATATAAACTTTTATCGGTGAACTGTATTTGATGGTACTTACTCATCCACAATCAAATATTTGTTACCATCCGAGGCGGCGCACCTGCCCCGGTAGCTGAACTGTGAGCCCTTGATGTGTATGGATTGCTGGTAGCCAGATAAAAACCAGGAGCCCTCCCATCGGGCAGGAAACGTGCAGTTTGTAGGCGCTGCAAGTCGAAAAAGTATGCAATTTATTGATAATATTAAACCAAATAAACCAAAAGCCAAACGCAGTCAAATAAATTATTTGTGTAGATTTTAATAGCCACATGCATAAGTGAGTTATATACTTAAATTCCCCAATTCTGAATCTGGGTTTGTGTGTATTGGGTGTGAGTAGCATGTGACCTCAATTGTGGTCCATTGTTCATTTAACGACACCAACAGCAACAACAACAACACAAATAACAAGAAAAGCAAGCTGCACCATAAAAGAGCAATTGTTCAAAAAAATATATTTTAACAATATTCAAGTAATGAAGAAAAATGTATAACCCAAGAGAATCGACTACCGAATACTCTATTCGTAGTTGTAGGTATTAGAATCTGTTCGGCTGATTGCTTAACTGATGACAGTGCTAATAGGAGCTTAATAGGATTAATGTCTGTTTGGTTGACTGAGCGATATATTATTGAATGACTTACCGATTAAATGAATAATTTCTAATGGCATACTGATAGTAAACTAATTGAATGTCGACTTGATTCACTAACTTGGTTGATTGGTTTATGATCAATATAATAACTTGATTGATCGTTAAGTTGTTTGATTGACTGACTGATAATTAGCTGATAGATTGAAGGTTTGACTGTCTGACTGATTGGCTGACTAATTGATTGATTGATTGATGAGCCCTGGTTAAACTTAATAGCCAGAGACTCAAGTAAAACAAAAACAAAATAAAAACCAATCTACCCTCTATCAGCTAACGGTATAGAGTATAACAATCTAGAATCTTATACCTAACCAAAATAAATAATGCCATTGTTCGCAGTCTTCGCATTTCTGCTCTAATAGTAATGTCAATTCTGATGCCAAGATTTGTGGCTTTTTAATTTATAAATTGTTTCAATTATTGTTATTATGATTGTATTTAAGTGCGTGCGCATAAGTGTCAGCTTGCCATAGTGTGTGTGTGTGTGCTTGTTTATATATCCATATATGTGTGTGAGTGTGGCTCTTAGAGACTACAAATTTACGACCCTCTGCCACGACGCAAGGGCTCATAAATAAGTTGAACAAGCAGCAAAACCAGAAAACGGCTCGTAATAATAATAATGTCGCACACAGACATAGAAATATACATATATATAATATATATACATATAAAAACTACCGAAATGGCAATTGTGAATATTAAAAAGAGCATAGGGAGAGAGAGAGAGAGAGAGAGAGCGAGAAAGAGCATGGAACAAGCCAATGCATAGAGTAAGGCAAACGAAAAAGGAGCCGTTAGCTTAAGGCATGCCACGCATACTTACATACACACACACAAACACACACACACACAAACACACACACACACAAACACACACACACTGAGCACAAACAATAAGTATAGCCAATGCAATACATACAAACGCACACATACAAGGCTAGAAAATGGTAAAACCACCCTCGAATAGCTTTCTGCCAGAGTTGGGCTGGGCTGGGCTTAAGGGTGGACCCAAAAAACACAACCGAAGCCGAGTGCTATACGCATTCAAATGCACAAAAGTCGCAAAAGTAGAGACGAATGTGCGCACGAATCAACACACATACATAGACACAGCACACACTTACAAACACAAAACACACACACACATACATACATCAAGCTATACACATTTTATTTTATTATTTCTTTGCTTTCTTTTATTTTGTTTTACTTTACTTTATTTTATTTTTTGCTTTGCTTTTGTTCTTTCCCATTTCAATTTTTTTTTTTCATTTTCATTTTGTTGTTTTTCACATTTGTGGCAAACAAAAGGTGCTCCTGCGCAGGATCAGCGAATCGCTGTGAACTCTGAGCCTCATTGAGAAGCCGCCCGTCCGCCCGCTAGCCCGCTAGCTCACTCCGCCTCGCCTCTGCTCCAGGTCCCCCTTTTCGCTGACTGTTTCATTGTCCAATGACTTGTACATTTGTTCAGCTACCGATGCTTTTGTTGCGGTAGCTGTCATAATGTGTCCCCCTCTTTCTCTCTCTCCCTCCTCTATCTCTTTCTTTCTCTATATGCTCGCCCACTCACGCACAGTGGGCGTGTGTGTATATAAAGTGTAGCATACTTTGCCGTGCGACCCATTGTAATTGTTTCGCCAATTTCAAGTGCCGTGCATAATGCTCCAACATGATTCAATACTTTTGCCAGCAACAACATAGCTGTCTATGGCTTAGCAGCAGCTACCCCCGATATATAGCCGCAGGACAAAAATCCAGCCAAACTACACGCTTGAAGTAAAAATACAAAAATAAACCAATGGACGGGTGGACGGAAAGGACGAACGTTGAACTTGAGAGACAGACAAGCGTGCAAATATGTATGGACAGTTGAAATGAAGAAATGAAGGGCTTTACACATACACACACACACACGCGAACACACAGGCATACATGAAAATACTTTTTTTTTTTTTTGTGGATTAGAATGGCTCAAGTTCGCAGCACAGCGCAGCACCGCTTGTTAGATTGGGCCTGTTGGATTGGCAAATATTTAAGTAACTCGGAAAAGAGTTGCGAATGACATTTTACTCTTATCAACTGACAGTAATCGCCTGGCGTTAGGCTTGTATCGTGGCTGTAAGACCCTTATCAGCCACATTAACGGTATTTTCTAAAGCATTTATGCGAAGAAAGGAAGCTGAATTTGTACAAGCAAAGCTTGGGCTTTAAAGAAAGTAAGTACAACTTTGGTTGTGTTTCTTTGGCTAATCATAAGCAAAAGCCAGGGGCTTGGCCCGATACAAATTTACTTTGAATCATTAATTAATTTATATATCCGATAAATCTCTCCCAAAAATATATTTCCATGCCTTTCTACGGGATTCAACTCATGAGTCAGTGAGAAGTAATATTTTTGGGTTTTAAAAGTCTAGTAAAGAACAAGTTGCAACACTGAAGTAAAGAACTTTGGCAAAGAACTGTACAAGTCGCCCTGCTAAAACTTGCTTTCCTGTTAATATAAATATTGCAGCTGGGCTTATAGTGAAAATAATTATCCCCCATCAGAAAACAGTTAATTGGTTCACCCACCTGCCAAATGTTACTTATTATGACAGGCCATTTTTGGTTGTGGACCTACAAGCAGTTGTTAGGCATGTGTGTGCTTATCTCTCAACGACTGTGTCTAGATATCTGTATGTGTAATGACAGCTTTAACGCGCTAACAGCTCCTTAACCCAATTAAAACGCCCCCCACTCCACTTCCGCAACCCCCGTGTGCCCTGCACCTTCTGGTGGGTGTGGACCCATTAAGTGTTTGGCGTTGAGTACTATCAGGGCGCTATGCTGGACCACCCTTATTGATGGGACAATGGCTACGTAGCACACACAAACATGGAACTCACATACTCACACGCACACACACACATGTAAGGGCAGCTCAAAGAGCATGACGCTTCGTTTTAGACTCATTTGCGTTTGCATTTGGAATTTTGGACTTTCGTTTCGGTTTTGCTTAGCAAACGCAAGTAGGGGTAGTAGGGGTAGTAGGGGTAGTAGGAGGTAACAGATAGAGCGTTGGTGGGATGTACGCCCGAAAATGCTTTTGTCTAACTTGAGTGAATTATGGTCAGCGGTCGGTGGTCGGATGGCGGTTGCTGCCTGTTTGTTTCGGGCAATTTCCGTACAATTTGCCATTTGTTGTTGTTATTGTTGCTTCTGCTGCGGCGGCTGTTGCCGTTGTTTTCTTATTGTTTTCAACCAAAAAAAAATGTTTTTTTTTTGTATACCCTGTAGTCATTGATGACAGATCTGTATATTGAGTATATTATAATTTGAATGGATGAAAGCCGACATACGGATAATCCAATAATATCATCAACGATAACTATCGATTGATAGCCAGGAATTATAAATATAAAATACAAGAGATTAATTAATATCAAAATATAAGGATAAATAAGGATTTATAGAATATGTTCTTTAAGCAGATCTTAAATTTTATCAGATTTAAGGAATGTGTCTGAATAGATATAAATATATTCCAAACCATAAATACTTAAATCGGATATGTACTCATTATCTGTGAGTCTTTGAATATATATTAAGCCACTTCAAATGTAATTGCGGGGTAACTCCTAGTCAGACATCAATAACTAAAGTACTCTTACTTGTTTTTTGGACAAATTCGCTCATGGAGAAACAGTTGAAACGCATTATACGAGCACGCAGATCTGTGGTCACAAACTACTTATGGATTCAATTGAGCATGACCGAGCAGAGGGCGCAAATGAAGAGAGCGGAGAGAGGTCGGTTGGCGGAGGCAATCACTCGCAGGGGTTGGGCGCAGACACAAGCTGTGGCAGGCAGCTGACGCTCGGGCCACTAAAAATTATGCTCAAAATTAAATGAAATGCTGTTGCCGTTCAGCAGAGGAGTAGGAGGAGCAGAATGGCCACTTGTAAGGGGACGCTGTGGACGGGGGTTGGGCCTCTAAAGATGGCGGGGCAATTGGATGGATGGAGGTGGCATTGTGGCGCAAGTCAAATTATAAATTCCTATCATAACGCTACTTAACGGCATGCGTTACGCGCATTTTCTGCGACTTTTCATCTTGACTCCTGCTCTAATGCCGATACCCTGGACAAACACAATGTAGGGTATATGACACTCTTGTGTAACTTTGTCAGATGTGAGGTGAGGTACGGACTATTATAAAAGGCATTTTGCCAATAACTTTCCAGAATTAAGCTTGATTATGAATACATAAGGATTGGCTGTGGGATTAGTTCCTTATATGTTCAAGCCATGAAGGGTATCTGTACAGCGGCCACTTATTACTCACCATCTTGACGTCCTCCCCAGCCGCTAACGGACGTGGCCAGCAGCAGCGTCAGCCACAGTGCTCTCAGCCAACTTTTTGTCGACGTCATGCTGTTGCTGCCGCAGCTTCTGCCCCGACTCCTGTCAATTGTTGTTGCTGTTGCCGCTGTTGCCGCTGTTGTTGTTGTTGTTGCTACTGCTGCCGTTGTTGTCGTTATATTCGTTGTTAGCGTTGTCGCATTGGCGAAGTTGCTGGCGTCGCTACTGCCATTTCTGCTGCTGCTGTTGCTGTTGCACAGTTGCTGCTGCCAGAATTTTAGCCACGTAATGCTAGGAAGTTGATACCACTCAGGCAGCGTCTGTTGCTGCTGCTGCTGTCGTTCCATCTCCTCCTGCGGTTGCTGTTGCTGCCTTCCCGCTTCCCGCTCCTTCTCTTGCTCTAGACGTTCCAGCGCACTAATATCACCATTATAGTTATAGCACCTACATTTATCATCCTCATCATCGTCTTCATCTTCATCTTCATCCTCAACAAGCTGCTCATTCAACTTCTCTTCGTCAATTTTTGTCGTTGTCGTTGTTTGCGAACTATTTGTTGTTGTTGTTGCTGTGGCTGCTGTTGTAGTTCTAGTTGCTGTTGCACTGCTGATTGGTTTTATTGTGTCCAGCTGCGTTGCCCCCTGACTTTGTCGCTCGATTCGCATACGCTCACGTCGCTGGCGCTGGCGTCGCAAACATTCCGAGACGCTACCATGGCTGTTGCTGTTGCTGCCACCTACAACAATCGGCATAACTAATTGCGTCGAGCGTCTGAGAGCGTTGCAGCTAGGCGCCACGCTAAACTGAATATCACGCTGCAGGAATTTGTGCGCCAGCTCCAAAGGAGTTGCTGGCGAGGATGAGGCTGAAACTGCCACTGCGACTGCGACTGAGGCAGGGCACAGTATAGCTGCTCCTGCTCCTGCTGTTGTCACCGTCGGCACTGTGGCATGTTTATCATCATTTTTATGTTCCCTACTGCTACTGCAACAACAACAACAGCACCGAGAAGTCGTAGTTGAGGAACAGCTGGTGGACGATACCGATGCCGATGCCGCCGCTGCTGCTGTTGCCGCAGGCACGTGTCCACATGGCTGACAGAAAGGCGGTAAATAGATTAACGACGTGGCTCTAGCTCTCGCCTTGGACGTGGCTAAGGTCCTGCTCCTGTTCGTGCTCGCCCTCGTCCTGACTGCGGTTACTGCCAGCTGCATTTGCTGCTGCGGCGTCCCCTCCTCTTGCTGTGGCTGCTGCTGCGTATTCTGTGTGGGTTGCAGAAGACAAGAGTTGAATATTTTATGTTTATTATATATACATAATATATGTGTTTTGTACATAAGAGCATAAATATGAAAGAAGGTGGCAAATACTGACAATTGCCGCATTTGAATTTAAAACAAGCGAGAAATCTGATTGCTATGGCTGGCTGAAGCCTGAATACTCTTTCGCAGATTTAAGTAATCATCAGCCAGTCAGTCAGATAGAAGCACCTAATAAACATATTATACATTCTTATTCTTTAATGGATTAATTGGCCAATAATTCTATAGCAAATCGTTGAAAAATAGCACAAATATATATTATTTTCTGTGCACATTTCATGACAATATTAGAATACCCTATACTATTTCTCACACTCTACAACGCAGACACATTTACATACAATATAGGAGACACACACACGCACTATATCACACACATAGATAATCCCGAGAAAATTCATTGTTCAACAATCCACACGCACAGCGCCTCACATAAAACGATTGGGGGAGTTGCAGTTGCCCCCAGAAATAAAACTTCCTCAGCGGCGCATTAAAAAGCAATAAAAATAAATATAAAAATAAAAATAAAAAATACAACGAGGGAAAAGGATACAAAAAAAAATAAATATGTGCTCTGGGAAACCAAACACTCCAATCCAAATAAAATGTCCAACGGCGCGTAAATCAAAAATCACGCGTTATAAAAGAAAAAAAATGAAACGAGAGAAAAAATTAAGACAAAATTTATAGATTTCTTATACAAATTTCTTATGTCTCCGGTGTAGCGCGGCCTCTTCCGTTATTTCTTTTTGTTTTCCTGCATTTAGCGCCTCCGGGCAAAGGGCAATGAGGCGGGGGAAATCGGCTGCAAAGCAACAATATCAACAAGAGAAACACCAACAACCACTTGAAAGATTATAATTTTTTGTCGAGACGTGCCGCAGCAGCTATTAAAAAAATAAAATAAATCGCCCAACTAAAATTTAAATAAAGAAAGAAAACTTAGACACATAATTTAAGATGGAAAAGCCCGAGGCACATAATTTGTGGAATCAACAATAAAAAGGGAAGCACGACTATAGAAAACTCATTAATTTAGTGTGTAAATCTAGCTAAAATAGAGCGAACGAAACTATCGATTGTGATGGATGAGTGCTTCATTGACTGACGGTTGATTGAGCAGTGATTAACCAACTCAGAGCTCTAACCATAAAGACAATTTTGGAACATTTGATTTGATTGGCGGATTATAAATCAGCTGCAAACCAATGAAAGCTTTGAATGGCTGATTTATTATAATCTAGCTTTTTCACACTAGTAATAACACTAATTTATGAATTGACTCATAAAGGGAGCTTTTATTACAGTAGAAACAATTATACATATAACCATAGTTTTAATTGATGCTGGAAAAATGGAGAACCCGAAAACATGACAAGCTGAAAACATTCCACACTAGAGTTAAATCTGAAATATGAAGTCTGAGCTCAGGTGGGAAGCTTTGCATATAATCTTTACTGTTCATCTGTCTATGCGAATACTCAGTGCAAATGAAACGTGAACCGCACGTGAGGTAACGCTAGACAAGGTTTTCGACGGGCCTTATAATATATTTACCACAATGGCTGACGAAATCGGAGTGGTGCTGGTTACTCAATTGAAATGTTTTTAATTAGTATAACCAATTAGTAGTTTAGATATCAATGAACACAAGGAATTCTAAAGCAGCTAAGGTGAGGGGGAGGCATTTAAGTACGTCTGGTGGTACTTAAAAGAGCAATCGCTTCGTATAGCTTTCGAGCACATTATGCACATAATGAGAGTATGTTAACAGAATCGAGCTTCTTCTGAGTAATTTCTAGGGCTGCCATAGCCAAAATCAAAAGGCCAGAAAACCGAGTTCGCCCGCCCTGTCAACTTTCCCATACGAGCTGATGGACACAGTGTGGGGAAGGCGGCGGGAAAGCATAATGCAATTTCCATGTTATGTAAGCGCTGCTCTTCTTAGCCCATCATCTATGCTAATTAAGTTAATTAAAAAGTACGAGCAAAGTATTTGCACTTGGCCAACTTCACGTCATAATCAAAGTTGAGAGAGCGCATCGCACGAAAAGCGAAGCCCAAGTCACGTCAAATGCTCTTCAAAAAGCGAGCCAAAGAAAGGCCCTGATGTAGATGCGAGCTAGAGATTGTGATGAAGATTGAGATGGAGCAGGAGATGCTGATGAAGAGGCAGATTGAAATGGGGATGAAGCTGACGTTGTCGCTGCCATTCACACTGTAGAGTGTCCACATAAAAACCAAAATGAATAGAAGGAAGCTAAAAACCTAAAACGAGGCCAATTATAAGCCTCATCATTAATTTAAATAAAATTAAATTTCCACTGGCTGCTGCAAAAGCACAAAGTAAACAATGCAAATGCACGACGAAAAGATACCCTGTACATAAAGCCAAGCAGTGCAACAATTTGTAAGATGAACATTTCGTTTGACAAACAGAGGTGCCTGCTTTCTCAATAAGATATGGACAGGGTATATGCTCACAGAGGGAGAGTTGGATGGACGGACGGGCAGACAGACAGACAGCAGTCGGTGGCCAATAAAACATTTAGGCGGAATTATAATTTTGTTTGGTGCTTTATATATAATTTACGTTTAAAATGTGAAACACCTGACAGCTAAAAAACGAATTTATGTTTGCATGTTTCCCATTAATTTATTTTTCCAAAGCGCGGCAGGAAAATGCAAGGCAAGGCATGGCAAGGCAAGGCAAGGCAGCACACAGCACAGCACAGCAGGCATTGGGAAAAGCCCGGGGAAAACAAAAAAGAAAATGAAAATATATATGCAGCAGGCAGGCACATTTTGCCATCACGTTTGGACTATAAAATAGAACACAGCAGACAACAGTCGGAGCCGCAGTTGGAGCCGAAGACGGAGACGTGGAAGGAGAAAGGAGACGTAGACGTAGTCCGACTCCGAGACGCAGAGCGAGGAGATGTAGATGATGTTGTTGATGACATGCAGCGCCGGGGTCTGCACTGCACTGAAATGGCAAAAGACGCCAAAAGCGAAATAGACCCAAGCCAAGAGGCAAGACGCAAGACGCAAATGGCAGCGGGCAACTGGCAACGGGAGACGGGCAACGGGCATGAAGCGCACAGTCGAGGCTCCTGCGAAACTTGTCAAGTAAATATATAAACGAAATATGTGGCACGGTCGCCCATGCCATGCCACGCCTCCTGCGTCCCGCGTCTTGGCGTCTGGTGGCATTTATTATTCGCTACTCTGCCAATTGGGTATTTCAATTTAGTTAGAAAATCTATAAAACAAAATATTCTAGCAGACGGTTATATATCGTCTAACTGCTATATAAATTAGAATTCTAGACTTGAATACTTTAAGATATTCGTTACATCTTATCAATATATTATTAAGGTTGAAGCTCTCTTCAAAAGAGGATTTCATATTTCAATGTATACTTCCTTTCCTCTTTGGCGGACAATCAAGATCATTCTAAGACTTTCTCTATATCCAAAGGGTATTCCATGTTTGTCAAACTCTTCTTCTTTGTTTTATTTTATTCGCATTTTATTATTATTTTCGACCCGGCGAGACGAAGACGCGAGCGAAGATACATAAAAAATATTTGTGTGTGCAACATTTTTATGATTTCCGTCTGGTTGCGGTTGCGACAAAAGGCTGGACTCGCCGTAAAGAAAGATGAAGCTGGCTGGCTCCCAGCATCCAGCATCCAGCATCAATCTTCCAGCTTCCATCTCCCATTTTACATTTGGCACCGAACACCTACTCCACCTGCTTTCAATTAAATGACACTTTCCCCTGCTCATTACGATTGAAATGTTGCTGTTTCGCTCTCTGTTTGCTGAGAAAGGAACCGCGACCGGGAGGCAGTGGGAATCGAAGTGAGAATGGTTTGTGGGGTCGGGTTCCTCCCCATCTTCATCATCTTCTTCTTCTGGTGTTGATGTCTGACATTTCGCTCCCTTGTCTCACTTCATCAATCATTAATTTCGTTTATTTTTAGTGAAAATAATCACTTTGAGCAACATATGCGACCCGACATGGCTTTCGCATGTGTTTTTCGCAAATGGGGGATGGGCCATGACAAACTGTTCCAACTGGGGACTGTGTACGCGCGTGTGTGTGCGTGCGTGGAATGGGTACAGCTTTAAGCAATTATCAAATGGACCCACAGTCCGCAGCTCAGCAGACAAATACTATAATTTTAACTGTGAAATGACTTTATTGGGTTTTGGTGGCAAATTGGGTAAGTTTCCAAAGGGGTTGCTAAAAGGCCCATATATATATTTGTATAGATGTATTTGCACACATAAATATATATATATATATATGCGTGTATGCGATTGTGTGTGTCTGCCTGCACAAGACAAAGAGCTTGGGTTACGCAAGGTTAAGCTGGGATAATAAAGTAGTAGACAAGCCGTAAGTACCGCATAAATTGCCAAGGAGCCAGCCAGGACTCTGGCACTTAGCTCAGGTAAGCACAAATTTATCAATAATACGAGTTCTCATTAGGCAACCAATGAGGGTAGGTTCTCTCAAGTAAGCGTTTAATGCAAAAGGTCTACATATTTCAGCTTGAACGCTATCTTAATTAAACTCGACATAAATCCCTTATGTTGCAGCTGGCATAAAAAAATAAAAAAAAAATTTTAAGGCTACATTAGGACAATTGATAAATTATTTATTTAGTGAATTTATTTATTTAGTGAAAAGGAAACAATGTTTTAAATGTTTGTTTTTTCCTAATTTTCGGAAATACCATCAATTAGCGGATTTACTTGTTTAGGTCCTTGATGAAACTCCACCTAGTTCGAAATTAGCTCGTTTGCAAAGCAGTCAACAAAACCAATGAATTTCCTGTTCTTGTTGATTGTTGTGATAGTAATGCCTACTAACTTCCTATATGAACTAGTTCTTTAAATTCATATATTTTATTTTCTTTTCATATATGATTTTTTGAGTATCAATTTTAGAAAATTTATCGAATTGGCAAACTTCTTATGTGAGTAATTATGTTATATATCTATTAATCATATTATTTATAGTTATGATCTAATTTTGAGTTTTGTAAACTTTTCATGACGGTTGACTAAGATATGAACCAGCTTTGCACAACAAACAAAAGATTTAAACTATATTTTTTCTTGAGAATTACGTACACTCACACATAGAGATCTTATCTTAGTGCTATTGTAGTAATAATTTTTCATTCTCAGCACCCACACACATGCAGAGTGAGAAAAAAAATTAGTCAACACTGTAAAATAACCCCTGGGCGGGGGGTGAGGCGAGGTAAGGGTGTTTCGAGAGGGCGATGAGAAGGGAGTTGCGTAATTCACTTAATGCAACGCATTTCCGTTGTGCTGCGGGTTCGAATCGTTATCGCTATCTGAAACACCCAGACATGCCAACATGATTTCAATCTAGCAATACAATACACAAGCATGTATTTACAATATACAAATATTGTACAGTGAAAGCTCTATCGGGTGGACAGCCATTTACCATTTACCCTTAGGGTCAGCAGCTCCGTTTTATCCGTTTTGTTTTATAAATATCTTATTGTTCCAAAGTCAGAATAAGAAATAATTCTTTAAGGAGAACATGCGATTGAGCTTACGAATTAACTTAATAAGTGAGATAGACTACTCAAAGCACAGCTTGTGGGCTCGTTAGTAGGAGTCTTCACTGTAAATATGTCGATAGCATAAATATGACAGAATTGGCAGCTAGCTCTACGCCGGGCTGAAGTGGACGGGAACGAAACGGGACGGGACGGAATGGAAGGGGCCGAAGTGCAATTGCAGTGCGCGCACCTCATTGAACTTTTCAGACAAACACAATTTGTCCGATAAGGGAAAAAATTCCACACAACGAGGTGAAGTGTAGGTGGGGGCGTGGCAGCATAACGTACGAACGGCCGGGCGATCGGGCAGACGGAAGAACTGACGGACGTCGCGCACTAATGGCCACCATTAATAATTGAAAAACTGAAACAGTTGAGCATGTGTGAGAGCAGAGGGCGAACCGGGGGAGAAGGAACTGGGAACATGGGTCTCGGTTTTTGGGATGCCAAAGCATAGCTTAGTCTTGGGAGGATGGGCAGGTTGGGTGGTTGACAAAAATCTATAACCAAAAAAGTTATGAATAAGCGAACGAAACGAAAACGAAGCAACGAGTGGAGCAAGAGAATGAGCTGAGGCGACGGCAGCGGAGAGATGAGAGAAAAGGGAAAAACAGAAAAATAACGAAAAAGAAATGTTAAAGCTACAAACCTGTTCTATGCTGGCGTCGCTGTTCCTGTTGTTGTTCTTCTTTTTGTTGTACATGGCGAGTCCGAGGGGCTGGCGATGCTGCGGCGCTGCTGACGACACGGCGACAATGTTGAAGCTGCTGCCGTTCTGCGTATAGTTGTTATTGTTGTTGCTGCAGCAGCTGCAGCACTGGCCGCAACCAAATTGTAGGGAATCGCGTGCAAAGCACAGCCAAGCAGCATTGGAAAATTACAACAACAAAAATTGTTGCCTTTTTCTTTGTGGCAGCGAGTTTTCCCGACGAATTTTATGCTGCTGCAGTCCAAAGAATCGCACGAAACGATACTGAGACAGCGACTGCGACGGCAACGGCAACACCGATTGAGTCGTGCGAACGCTAGCTACAGAGCAGCGCAACGCAGGGCAGAGCATAAGCCAGGCAAAAATATTGGAGCAAGGTGTTTCCAAATAGCGTCGACCGAGCTGCAACTGAGCAGCGCTCACAGACACGGCGAATTCGCAGCGCTTCTCTGCGCAAAAGCGGAGCTGAGAGTAGATTTGGCTCTCCTTGTTGTTGTTGCTTTTGCTGCTGCTATTGCTGTTGCTGTATTGAATGTGCGTCTCTCCCACCACCAACGAACAAAGAGTGGGCAAGTTAAGTCTGTCGCCTTATATTCTGTTGGGGCTGCTGCTGTCGCCGCTGCTACTGCTGCTGCTGCTGCTGCTTGCGCTCGCGCTCTACCGCCTGCCTCTGTGTCAATCGAATTAAACTGAGAGCAAACTGAGTAATTGGGTTTAGATATTTTTCCACAGATAGATTGAGACAATGTTATATATTTTCATATTGTGTGTACATTTATTAATTCAATAATAGCACTGGCCCATTGATAAAGCAAAATGCAGCAGTTACATTTACTAACACTCGCTCTCACACACACACGCACACACATACGCGGTAGAGTGTATACAAAAATCTGCACAGCGTTTTAAATTTAGTTGCGTTTGAGCTTCGGTTCAACGGTAAACCTTGAACTTAAATGTATTTTACATTGTTCACTCGTATTTGATTTCCTCAGCACCTTTCTCTGTTACACATTAGTTTTAAATCTTTACTCTGCGGAGACTTGTGAGCAGCGCGGCACAGCCTGTGCGCACTGAAAACTTCTGCTGCAATACACAAATTTCTTTCTTATTTGCTGCGCGCACCACCTACCAGAAGCTGAGAAAATAATTAAAAATATCTACGCGACGCGCGGCGACGTCCGTACGCAACGATTCTGTGAGAAAGAATGAGCGTAACTGGTGTATCGATGCTACGATGTATAAGAGCAACCACAAGCGATGTGTCGATATATATCGATAACTGAGCGCTGGTTCTTTTTGTGCATGAACCAAGTAATTCGTTTATTATTTGATCAAAATTTTCAATGAAAACACACATGACATAGGCAATATTATTTAAATAGGTAGAAAAACTCATTACTTTTTCGAACTAGAAAAATAATTAGTTACCGAAATAGTTAATTAGATCTGAAATGACTAGGCATATTTAAAAATTGTGCAAAATGAACCAGATTTTACTTGAAAACGGAACTTCTGTAACGTTCCTTTTGGTTTTCATTTTAAATTCTGATGAAATGTTGTGTGGTCTCAATAAAAAGGAAAGGCGATTTCGCTGTTATTATATTTAACTAATCACAGACATTCTCAGTTAGTCATCCCAATGCTTCAGCTCCAAAAACCTCGCACACAACTGTTTCTTTATACTTACATATGGCTACGTACATATGTACATGTATCTGCCACTCGGTCTGAAACTTGTGAGACAGACAATTGAAGTGTCTGAAAATCTGAATCATGTTTCTTGTCGTCTCTTTTGTATAAACAAAGCAACGCTTACCCAAGAAATTAGCGAAGTGCCGTATCAATTTACGAGTTCAAGAACATATACACGTATATGTGTGTATGTGTAAACAGATATATAGTATATATATACATATAGTATATGTATGTGTATGTGTAAAGCAGTTCGACTTCTTGACTGATTGGTGTTCATTAATCAAACAATTGCTCTGAAATGCTAAAAGATATTTGTTCCTTGCTTCTTGAGTAAAATATTGAGTTTAAAATATAAAGCAAATGAACTGTAAATAATATTAATTTATACTGAAAGAGCGTGCATCGTGTAATGCCGATTAGCACAATCGCATTGGAACAGTAGAACTTACAATTTTAATAACATCGGCATTGGATTACTTCATAGAACAGAATTGTTTATCTGCCCAGCTGTGCAAATACCAAGAGATGTTTACCTTTAGTCACAGTTCTGATATATGCATATGCGATATCGAAATACGAGCCTGTATGGCGCAACTAATGGAAAATTCTTTATTGAAGGGAAAACTTTGGTACGCAGTTGCAACTGAAGCTGCTGCCATTGCCTCTGCCGCTACCGCTGCTAATGTGAGCTGTTCGTTGTGTCATTCATTTGTTTTTTGCTCTCGCCCGGATATTGTGGGTCATGATTGTGTTGCTGGTTCTTGACCACCAGCTCACCTGTGCTGGAGCAGGTGATTATGCGAGCAGCACAGCGCAGGTAACGATTCCGAGCACAAAGCCAATACGTCTTCGATCCTCTGCTGTTGTTCCGAAAGTACTCGAAGCCGCCCATCAACAGCTTCGGCTTGCCCTTGGTGCCTTTGACGATCATTATGCCCTGCTTGCGGACGAGTTCTGCAAGGAGAGATAGAAGGTTGGTTTAATTAGTTAACCAGAACTCAATACAGGTTGATACTAAGATATAACGTGCACTATGGTACGACAATCAGTTCAGGCTTTTGCAAAAACATCTTTTTATTAGGCTTCGAAATAGATCCAGATCTTAAACTAGTTATTAGCTGTTTGTAGACGCCGCTTACGCCTCCAAGATGCGACTCCTTGGCTCGGTTTCCTATCTGCAGTAGTATAAGAGGAAATTCGATATATATTATTATAAAGTAGATGTGCCATAGATTTACATTTAATTATAAATGGGAAGTCTTAAAAGGTCTATACAATTTTCATTTCTCTTTTTGATCAGACATTAGCTGGATTACATCTAGGTATTATTTTATATATATTTATAGAAAAATATAATCTAGATACTAGATTATAAAGTAGTAGCCACATCTCAACAAAGCTGAATCGAATAGCAACTAGGTCTATAATTAGTAAAAGTATTTTAATTGCGGACTGGATCCACTTTAATCTGTATCGCGCATCGCAGCTCCCATAGCCCCATAGCTGCGATGCTCAGCTATGCGAGTGATTGGCATATTTGATCCTGTACACCTCCTGGCCGCTCTTCAGCTCGTGCGTCGTTGCCCTCACTTTGCAATTGGCACTGCGATATCTTGCACAGCGCCAGTTGATGCTGCTCTTCAGTTTCCGATCCATGACGAATTCGTGTTTGTCTATCAACAATTTGCGCTTCTTCTTTCGCGTGCTCGTAAAGTTGGCCAACAGCATGATATCTGCAATGAGAAACATACAAATATATATAATTAGTGATAACAAGTCTATTTTCAAATCAATACTGAGCTTTTAGCTTTATCGAAAACTTTAGCAGAACATTTTTGTATCACTTTATTTACTAAACAATTCTTTTTTATTCTTAATATTAAAAGTTTTAAAAAATTATTTGAAAAATGTGTATTATAAATTAGTATAGAACATTTTGTATATGGTATATACATATATTTAAATGAGCTCTAAAGATCCATGACGAATAGATTCAAACTAAAATTATACCTAAATTAAACTTGCAAGTTTTTTAACACAAATATCATCTTTTACCTTAAAAATATTTTTATATTAAGATAATATATATGGATTAGTTCTCCATCTTATGCTCGGGATCAGCAGCTCTTCCAATGAAAACAACTTAACAAATTTAAAATGTATCTATAGAACATTTTAAGAATTATTTAATATATTAATAGAAATATTTGGGAATATTATTGAACAATATTCCCCCTATTAGCGTTGGCTAGAATAATTGCTTAACAACGTGTCCTTTAATACTGTCTGATATCTAACACAAAAAGTTTATATACCTACAAATACATAGATTTATATATTATGGAGTTTTGAATGAAATCTGGATTTCGTCCAGAATTCGAATCCTATTTAAAACTTAAGCTTGTCTATATTGGGTAAGATATTATTAGTTTTATAAGATGCAAAAATTCGAAGAAACTTAATAAAAGCAATTGTTTAAATTATAGCCAAATAAAGTCTTGTATTGCTCTGAATGATATGCTGAAGAGAATGCCACTTGCAAAATATATGATGAATTTCCATAATTTAAAAATATTAATAGGTCTTACTAAATAAAAGTGGTAATAGATCAGGGACGAATGAATACAATGCAAAGAAATAAATAAAATTTAGATAGTAAAAGGTGGCATAGGTACCGCCATTGACCTAGTTTCGGCCACGTAATGCGTTCTTCATCTTCCGTCCATATTCCTCCTGGCTGTGATTGTGCTTGCAGAAGTGGACAATGCTTCCATTCAGAGTGTGAATGCGTCCGTGACACTTGAGTATAGTCGTGTACTGGGTGCAGCGCCAATAGGTCTTATTGTTGATGGCCTTCTCCCGGACATAGTAGAAGCCCTCATGCAGCAGGAGAATGCGACCCTTCTGGCTGATCACATAGCAGAAGTTGGGCAGATCTAAAAACGATATAGAAAGATCGATATACATATAACATTATTAGATAGTTTCTAGTTCCATAAATCTTAAGCTAACATTATTCAGAAACAATAAGGAGCAGTGCTTAGATATATACATGGGAAGATAGTGCATTTGCTGCAGTGGTTCGCATGCGATATAGTTGCCATATAATGTACACTTTTTTAAACTTTATTCTTATTCTTATAGAGTTAAGCAGATCTGAACTATACAGTTTGAAATTCTATCTTTAGATCGCATCGTCTGTCAGCTCGTGCAGCTCCTGCACCTCCTCCTGGTGTAGCTCAAAGCTAACCGCCCCCTCCATCTCGCGCTCCAGCTTGATCTGGGCAGCGTCCTGGGCCTGGGTCATTGAATGCGCCTTGCTGGAGCTATACTTATTCCGCTTTAGCTCCGCATGCATGTGCTCCGCCTTGTTGATGATGAATTTCGGTGGATTCTCCTTGAGCATAGTTATCCTCGCGGGACATTTCAACTTCTTGGTTGCCATCGAGCTGCAGCGCCATAGGATCTTCTTCTTGTTCTCGCTCATAATTAGAAATCGTATGCCATTAGCCATAATAGCTGGACGACCGCGCAGCGATTGTGTGAAGAAGACCAGAACATCCTCCGGATTGGGCACCTCCTCATTGGCCAGCACAACTGCAAGGGAAACGTTGAACGATAAAGCAATTAGTGAGCGTTGGGTTGGAGAATTGAATTATTATAATCGATTAGCCAAATGCCAAGTACTGTCACAGCTCTGCCTGGTTTTTGTTTTCTTTCATTTTATTTACAAGCCAAAAAATTGCACTTAAATTAGATTCTAAACGCGTTTGCTTCTGCTCGACGGCTGCTGCTGCTGCTGCTTCTCCTTGCGCTCCGGTCGCACATGGCAATGCTCGTGGATCTGTCGAAAGTCACTCGAATCGAACTTATTCATGCAGATTAGCACTGGGCAGCGTACGTGGCGGTAATACCAATGGCAGCGCCAGAAAAAGTTCGAGCGGTTCTCGTTGTTCCTGAAGAACTTTAGGCCGTCGAGCCAGAGCAACTGGCCGCCGCGCTTCGAGACCGAGAATTGCACCTTGGGCTTATATGGAGCAGCAGCAACAACTGCAAAAGAAATACAAAGAGTAAGATTCACAATCAATTAGTTATAGTTATAGTTTGTTGTGGACGAAGGGGCTTCTCGTTTTGGATGCTCTTTGCACATTGAAAAACTATGCGGATATTTGCGTACTTTAATACATCGATTCTTAAGTCCTTACTAGCTAGCAAGTTAACAGTAAAACTAAAATTCGTAGCTTTGCTTCGATTTGTACTCGTGGAGCGGTGGAGGCGGGCGACTGGACAAGATTCTAGCTGAGAGCAGCTCGGGTGAAGCAATATCACGAGACTGCAGCTCGACGTCCGTCTGCTGCTCCTGATCTTGATCAAGCTGCTGCTTCTGCTCCCGCTCCCGTTCCTGCTCAGTCAGCCGCTCGTGCTCCTGCTCAGGCTCCTCCTCTTTAGCCATGGACGGCAGCGGCTTTATCTCAATGTCATTACTCTCCATGTGCTGATGCTGATGGCAGAGC